CTCACGTTAAATATATCTCTAAATTGTCAAAGGAAACTTGTACTAAAATGCCAATTTTATTTTCAAAATGCCATGTAAATTTTACATGAAATATTTATAGCAAAGTAAATAAATAAAAAAAAACACAAAGAAAATTAAGAAAAACTATATATATATATGGTTATATTTATAAATGAGGGAAAAAGACAATAGACAGCTTATGTGCAGTAAATAAAACTTATTGTTTTTCTCGTTTTTTTCCTTTTTGTCCTTTTTATATTTATTTATTGTGCTATATATACGAGGGCTGTACAAAAAGTATCGAGACTGAATTTATTATGCAAAAACGTACATACATAAACTGGTTTTGAGTCAATCTCCTTCGAAATATGCTCCATTGGCAGTAAGACACTTGGCCCAACGATGTTTCCAGTCCTCAAAACATTTCTGGAACTCAGACTTTGGGATAGCCTGAAGCTGCTGCGTCGAATTCTGTTTTATGGTTTCAATGTCCTGAAACCGGTGTCCTTTTAAGGTGTTCTTGATCTTGGGAAAGAGGAAGAAATCTGGAGGTGTCATGTCTGGAGGTGTCATGGAGTAGGGAGGATGTGCTACTTGGATTGTTCCGTGTTTTGTCAGGAACTGCTGCACAAGATTGTGCTGGTGTGCGCTGGGGCTCCGTCATGATGAAACATCCAGCGATAGGACGCCCACAACACCGATCGTTTTCTACGAACAGCCTCTCTTAATCTCCTCATGACGTCCAAGTAGAATTCCTTGTTCACTGTCTGGCCCTGGGGAGCTACTCATGATGAACAATTCCATCTGCATCGAAAAACACAATCAACATGACTTTGATCTGAACACCAACGAATTATCTTTAGTTAGTCGACAATGTCACGTGGTTATTGTACTAACATCTTTAATTGGTTTTAATTGGAGTTTTGCTGATCTCAATCACTCCTACTTGTGCATTATCACGTCCGGGTCACCACAATGTTGAGTACGGCAAGAAATATGCCCTATTTCTTCCACTCCTATCTTTTATTAAACCAAATTCTTAAAAAGAAAAACAAAATTATTCTACATATTTCTAAACATAAACTAGAGTTCTATTACACAAGTTAAAAGTTATTGAAGACAAAGGAAAACGCTTTTACCTAATTCTCCATAATACAAAATTTATCTAATTCTTATTTCAAAACGTAACAGCATCTTTAAGAGAAATGAGTTCCTGAAATTCGAACAATAGGGGTAAGGGATAAAAGAGATAAGCATTAGGGAGTCATCTAAGGCTTTAAAATGAGGGTTGAACACACAAAGAAGATAAGTAAAAAGAGAGCATTCCAAGAGAAACATGACAAAAGGATGAAAATTCTTATGATTAGCAATATGGTATTAACTTGAGACTCCTTCTTTTCAAAGTGAGGAAGTTTTTGTGCTGTGCATAAGTGAGGGGTGGTTTTTAAGAGCAGGGCATAAATCAATAAAAGTTATCACTGTTTTTCTATATCCCCAACCAGGACTGCTTGAAAAGCGCGCATATGTATGAAACACGTATAAAAGAGAGCGTGCATAAGTGAGAGATCACTGTATGTATAATATGGGATTTTCTTTCCCAATGATGTATTTTTTTTGTTTATTTAAGTATACCTCAATCTTTGAAACTTGAAACAAAGTTACTACTTAACTATCTTAATAACTTTAAATGAAAAACAAGAAAAAACTTGTTAAACTATGAATGAGACATCTCCATTATTTAAGGATCATTTTGTCTTTATATTTACTTACCATTTAACTTTTCTTTTTTGGGATTCTAATTCATAGCTCATGGGTGAAATATTTTTTGTTGTCATTCTAATTAAAGAAGAATTAAATTCAGCTTTTTAATCTAAGTTTTCACCTGAAAATGTGTATGGAAAATATTTGAATTTTTAATCGGTTATTCAATTTTTTTAGCTTTTTTTTTGTAAGAGCTTTATGTGGTAAAGATGTGCAAATTGTTGCAATAGAATATCTTAAATTTGAAATATAAGAATTGAACATATTGCAAGTATAAATTTAAGTATATTTATCTATTTATCTTTAGTATATTTATCTAATGCCCATCAATATGTATGTTTCTAAGTATAAAACAGTGAAACAAATAAAATAGAATAACAAATAAATGTAAATAGAATAATATATGTTAAAAAACATAATAAAATTTGTAAAATAAAAGAACTATAAAATATTTCAAAATTCTCCGCATCTACCTTACTGTTATTAAATTAATTCTATTATTCATTTTTTGAAATGAAATTTCTGAATTAGTTTATAACTATAGAATATATTTTATTAGGGTATAGTGTGGATTTTATTGGGGTATAGTGTGGAAACTATGTCTTTATTGATAATAATGTCTTGATTGATAATGATTAGAAAAATANTTTCAAAATTCTCCGCATCTACCTTACTGTTATTAAATTAATTATATTATTCATTTTTTGAAATGAAATTTCTGAATTAGTTTATAACTATAGAATATATTTTATTAGGGTATAGTGTGGATTTTATTGGGGTATAGTGTGGAAACTATGTCTTTATTGATAATAATGTCTTGATTGATAATGATTAGAAAAATAAATAAAAATTATGAATTGAGTGATTTTTATTCTTTTACATGAAAGCCTTTTTAAAAAAGAGTCTTGATAATTATGTTGCCCATCTTCCTGTTCCTGTGAAAATCATCCGATCTGCCAATCGCACTGGGTTGATCCGAGCTAGACTCCTTGGTGCGGATGTTGCCTCCGGCGATGTTCTAACTTTTTTGGATGCACACTGCGAATGTTCAGAAGGATGGCTTGAACCATTACTGGCTAGTATTACTGAAGACAGGTATTTTGATTGATTTTAATAATCAGAAGTGAGATTATTGTATCAAAGGATATGCAACCTGTGGCTAAATATGTCATTTGAAGTTTAGAACTTGGCTTTTCTTTAATTATTAATAAGACATAAAATATCCTCAGTGTTGACGGATCATGGGTTTAAATCCTTTAGCGGTCAGGCTGATTATGGGAGTTTTTCCTCTTCATGTAATTCAAATGTGTCTTAGTTCTATCAAAAATCCTCCACGAATCCAGGAGTTCCCTTATCTTCTGGATTGGATTCAAAATTGCAAAGCTACGGAATGGAGCATCAGTAGTCGTAAATCCGAAAAAATTGGGTGGCTGTTCTATGATGGTTATTAAATAAAATATTGATAAAAAATTCATACGAAGAAAAATATTTATTTAACTAGTTTATTACAAAAACAATTTTTTTTGTTATTTGGTGCTCCTGATTTTCAATTCACTTATTGTCTTAGTGCAACACTGGATTTACTGGTAATCATTTCCCTTTTCATGTTTTATTAATGGCTATGGGTTCAATGCAAGAAAATTTAATTTCTTATGAATTTTGTTTGTTACAGCATGTATATATTTTAGTTTATATTAGAATATTTTACCATTACAGTTTATGATCTTATTCTTGTTTACCTCCAACATGGCATTTTTTAATTTTTGTGGCCCACTATCAGAAAAGGTTGTGCTTCCTTGATATAATCATGTTGAAGTTGTTGTTGTTTTTTTTCTCTCTTAAAAATATAAACCAGGACTTATAAATCTAACAAATAAATCTCATTATATAATTTACTGTTTAGTTTATACTGGATATTTATTCCCCATTTCCTATAGTTATTTAGGAATTGTATCCTTCTATCTAGGGTGAGCAAGTTTTTGACAATTGATGGTATTATCTGGTTTTAACAGTCATGACCTAGTTTTTGACAATTGTCAGCAAAATTTTGTAGTAAAAAATTATTATTAGCTATTAAAAATATACGAAAAATAGATACAAATAAAAAAGCAATAAAAACAGACAACTCTGAATGCTTTTGATCTAATAATCAGATCTTTATGTTCTAGGACTCAATCCTAATGGTTTGAGAGGGTGACCTCAAATATGTAATTAATTAGTGTAGACGATATCTTAAGTTATGAAATCAGACACAAAATCCTTCTTTATCTGAATAAACATACCTTTTTCTCAAAAATTTTGCCGCAATTTCGAAAATATGGACCCCATAGCTTGGTTCGGACTTCTTAATATTAATTTAACTTTGTGCATATTTCGCCACCAATGTCTTTTTGCGTTTGTCACCACCAAATTAATATTTCAAAAATCTGATACCATACGTTTATTTTCAATATTCTTTAATGATGTGTTTTTTTAAGAGTAAATAATTTAAAATCAATGATAGTCAAAAGGAAAAAAATTAGTTATGTATTTAAAGGCGAAATTAATGAAAAAGTGGTTTGATTCAATTCGAAGCAACAGACGCCAATGATTTTTAATTAATTTAGGTAGTATATCCATGTTGAAATAAGCTATGTACTAAAGGGAAAAATTAATGGAGTAAAGGTGCTTATTTGTTCAGAGGAATTTTAAGAAATTACCATACTATTATTGACTACAATGATGCATAATCAATGTTGTTAAAATTTAAATTAAAAAATAACCTATCTGCTAAGCAAAGGTAATGGGAAAAAGATTTTAGAGATATTATTATTTGCCATATTATTGATACCAATGCTTAATTATCGTAGGTAATATGTATTAATTAAAATAAAGAATAAGTTTTGTACTAAAAAGCAAAGTTTATGGAGAAAGGGTTAATTGGAAATTCGTTTAGGGAACCATACACTGATGACGCATAATTAATTTCTGTAATATGATCTACTGGTTTTATGGTAATTAGCTGAGTTTTAATAAGAATTTTACAAAAGGTTTGTCATAGTTTCAAAATATTTTTTTCCTGTGGTAGCAAGGATAGTGTATTAATATTTTAATGAATTAGAATTTAAAAGAAAAAACTTTTTTCTGACACTACTTATAAATATTTTAAAAAATTAATTAAAGATCGATCGAGAAATGAACATGCTACAAAGCCTTTGTCATGGTCTTATAAGAATAATATTTGTTTTTAAAATTTCGGCTTTAGTTTGCTACGATTGATAAATGAATTTCGCACAAAACTTAAATGTTGAAGGGTTTTGCAATAAATACCAAATATACTAATGTAGGTATAAAGTATAATACTGATATACACTGGTCGACAAAATTAAGAGATGGAAGACATTTTCCCAAATATCTCAAAAAATACTGAATATAAATAAATGAAATTTGGTATGGATATAGCTTATTCCATGATAATAAAGTATGCAAAACAAAAATGAAAGTGCCATTCACTGGCAAGACCTATTGCCAATAAATCCAATGTAGTCTGAACTTAAGGATAAAAGATGACAATAAAAGTGAGGCTTGTACAGTGTGTGTTGCCTCTAGTATGGTGTATGGTCACCCCTGACAGACAGACAGCATGCACAACGAGTATGCATGCTGTTAATAAGGGAGTTAAGGAGGACTTGTGGAAGACCCTCCCATTCTTCCACCAGAGCAATTTTTAACTCCAGAATGGTTCTGGGGGTAGATTGGCGCATCACAATAGCTGTCCCAAGAGCATCCCAAGCATGTTCAATAGGATTCAGGTCAAGGGATTTGAGTGGCCAATCCATTCGTTGAATATCCTCGCTTTCCAGATACTCATAAACCATGAGAGCCCTATGTGGTCGCGCATTGTCGTCCATAAAAATGAACTCGGGACCAACAGTGCCAGTGAAAAGACGCACATAGGGCTCTAGGACCTCCTGCCTGTACCTCTGGGCATTCACGGAACCATTGTCAAACACATGGAGCGGTGTGCGGGTATCTTGCTTGATACCTGCCCAAACCATGAGTCAGTCCTCCACCAGGATAATGGTCCCTTTCGATAATGTTGCTGGGATGGTATCGGGTTCCAGGTTCCCTCCATATCAATAACCGTCCAGAAATAGCGTCATAGAAGAATATAGCGTCATAGAAATGTGCGAAAATGCTTTCCGTCTCTTAAATTTGTCCACCAGTGTATTTGGTAATTATTAAAACTGTACCAATACTGCAGCAATAATAAAATCGATATTATAGAAATAAGTGTCTTATATCCTCTTGAAAAGGTCTGTATCACAAAAAATTACTTGATAGCGGTAAATTTTGACTATGTGTTGGCCAGGAGCTATATTACCATGCTAAGTATGTTAAATCTTTGTTCTGATGAGATGAACTATAAAAATTCTAATAATGTAGCATTTTTCTTAATATAATAACGTAAAGACAGTGGGAAGGGTAACAAATAGTAATGAATAAAAAAATTATTTTTGCTTAATTGAAGAACTTAATGGAAATTTTCAGAGTTTCTATAATCAGGGTAAGAAAATAAGTATTTTTATAAGTAAAGCTACTTTTTTACCGATTTATTAGAAAGCGAGATTAATAATACTATGCCTTATTTTATTTACTAATGACTAATTTTAAAATAAAAATTATGTAAGTATGAGAAAAAGTAATGTGGATAAGTTATGTCAAGATTAAAGGGAAAGAGAAAAAACAATTTAACATTTCATTAAATACACCCATATTGAAGTAACACCTTTCACTGATTCATAAATACCCCTTAAAATGTCACTCACCTGGTTCTTCCACTAGGCACTTTAATTGTGTCAGAATATGTCTTTCAGTTTTGTGCCTGATTTTGTAGTATTGTTCAGTACTTAGTAATTGGGGTTATATTTTTTTTATACCACGGACGGGTACTCAGCTAATTATTAATTTAATTATTAATTATCAGCTAATTATATAATTTTATTTAATAATAGTTGAAACATTTTTAAATTGTAAAGCGTACAATTTTTGACATAATTTTTTAAAAGTTCTTGAGATATGACGAAATATGCAAAAAGTAAAATTAACATTAACGGGTCCAAAATTAGCGGGATCGTTTTCCCAACCAAATTGCGTGGACCTTATTTTTCAAATTGGGACTACCTTCTGTATTTTAGGGGTCAGAAATCCTAATGAATCAAAAACAATATTTTTATTGAGATCAAGTATTTTTTTTTTGTGTGTCTTACTTCATAACTTAAAATATCGTCTGCACTGCATTATTTTTAAACAATAATATTGAGTCCTGAAATATGGAGATCATTCAGAGTGGTTATTCAGGTTCATTCAAATTAAACTGCAAATATAAGTTTTAACAATAAATATTCGGAATCGAACAAAAAATTTCACAAGGTGAGATCAGACAATTATTGGCAACCACTTTAATTTTACTTAAGCTAAAAAAATTTACTTAAATGACAGCATAAAAGAATTAAAATCAATATTCAGATGGATAACAATTAACATACCATTACTTGTAATATGATCTGAATAGGTATAATATAGCAAATAATAATCTTAATTAATGTTTTTTAGAAAAACCAATTAATAGTTTCAATAATTCTGGTTATATTTTTTTATGGATGAAACATTATAAAAACCTTAATTATGGTTGTAAAAATTTCAAGCATGATTTAACTTCAAATAAAATGTTCCCAATGGCAAAGGAGAAAACGAACTATTGACAGTTTTTAACGTAATTGTCTATCACTTCGTTTGAATAAGTTTTTCTTTTCAGGAAGCATGTAGTTTGTCCAGTTATCGATATTATTCATGATGAAACATTTGCTTATATTCGAAGCTTTGAACTGCATTGGGGAGCCTTCAATTGGGATTTACATTTTCGTTGGTATCCCGTGAGTGAAAGGGAGTTGAGGTCTCGTCAAAATGATACGTCTGCACCATTCAGGTTCATTCATTTTTTATTTTCTAATTTAGGTTTTTCTGTAGTGTAATTTTTATCAATTTTAGAAGTTTTTAAAGCAAATGAAAAACTTCCAAAAATTTGTCTTAACCCATTAATGATGAGTTTGATAATTTTAGGATTTTTTCATCACATTTCCCTAAATTTTAAGATTTTTTCCTATTCTTTAATAAGAAACAAAACAAGTTTTAATGGCAGATTTTTTTTCAGTAATTTCTTGTAGATTTTATGATATTTTGTATTGAGACAAACAATATTATTGAAAAATGTCAATTTGATATCTTTTAGGATTTTTCAATGTGTTTCTCTAAGTTATGATTTTTTTTATCTATTTAATATGAAGCAAAGCAAGTTTTGATGGAGGATTTTTTTTCTGTAATTTTTGAAGCTTTTAATGACATTTTATATTTACAATATTATAGAAGAGACATGTGAATTTGATAGCTTTAATGATTTTTCATCACATTTCTCTAAGTTTTAATGATTTTCTACTCTCTTATGAGAAACATAGCAAATTTTCATGGAGGATTTTTTTCCCCCAGTAATTTCTAGTTGATTTTATGACATTTAGTATTAACGCAAATAATGTAACTGAAAAATGTGAATTTAATATCTTTAAGGTTTTTTCTTCTCATTTCTTTAAGTTTTATTGATTTTTCTACTCTTTAATAAGATTTAAAGCAAGTTTTCATAAAGAATTTTTTTTCAGTAATTTCCAGTTGATTTCATGACATTTAGTAAATGACGCAAACAATATCTTTGAAAAATGTATATAAATGAGTTAAAATTTGTTTTCTTTTTCATAGTTTTAGGCCTCAAAATTTCATTGCGTTCAAAAGTGTGAAGCTTTTTTTATAGTTTTGTAATTCCTATTTCGGTTATTTAAATGCAAATTTTATTTTATTATTTAAGGACGCCTGTAATGGCTGGTGGCTTATTTGCAATTGACCGTTCTTACTTTGAAGAAATTGGTCGATATGATGAAAGAATGGATATTTGGGGAGGAGAGAATATAGAACTATCTTTTAGAGTGAGTAGTTTTCATTTTGTTGTAAAGGAATTTAAGTGATACCTTGCATTCTGATAAGCCTCCTATCATTGATCAAATGATTAGTTTTCTATGACAGGCATAATGCATTCATTTCGTTCTCCACAATTGATAGTTTTCATTTTATTTTATAACCAGTGACAAACAACTGACCCGTTCTGGGTTTACAACTATCAATGTTCGACTCTATAACCTTGCAATTTTAAACCCAACCCAAAAGACAAAGGAATCAATCATTGGAACAAACTTGATAGAAGTAACCTACATTTTTGTTGCATGGAAGGAAAAACTGTGATGGCAAGGGGATTCTAACCCATGATCCATCTACCACTGAGGATATTTTACATCAGCTCTGTGGTCGGTGCGAATTGGTAGCAGAATTCATATCAACCAGTCATCACTAGGGCTCAAACATATATCGCCTCATTTTTTAGGCGATTACTCAATTCCCTGAGCTACCCCGGCTCACTTTTAACAATGTAGTAGTGAAATCATATTTTATGTGATTAATGTCTTGGTGCAAATAACATTTTGGCATAATGCTTTTTAAAAGCTGCATTTAAAGCAATAATAACCAGTCAGAATAGGATGTCATGTGATTGTAATCTTGGTAAAATTACATGATTGAAAACCTTTCCTTCAAACTTCCAAGCCATTAGATTAGGTGAGGCTAAATGAAGTTTAAATGTGACTAAATAAGAAACATTATGCATTTAAGGTGTATATTAATGAAAAACAATTAATCATTTTAGCAATAAACATTTTGCATCATTCATTATAATACTCAAAATGCTTGAAATCTTTTAAATTTTTTATTTCAAACATTTTTTTAAGATAAAAATATTACCTGCATAAAATAATCAACTTATTTTATTTTAGAAAGAATACAATAATGTTGTCCTTAGTATTAAAAGTAATTTAAGTGTCTCTGAACTATTTCTAATCTAGTAATAATTTAACATATGTTAATCATAGACATCTACCATCTGTGAATATAGTTTAAGTAGTTTTGATTGTTTAATCTCTTGTAACAAACTTCCAGCTCTAAGAGGAAACAAATTAGTGCAAACAACAACAAAAATTACCCATCTTTAAGTTTTTCTGAAAAATAAGATCTAGTTTTAAAATTGAATATTAATTGTATTAATCACATATGCATGTGTGATTTGGAGTCATTTTAAACAATGTTCACATCATGTGGAATGAGTAAAGGAAGGATTAGAGTTATTAATAAAGCATTAGACTTAACTTTTTTTTAAGGAAAAATTCTTGGTTAAAGAAAAGCAACTGCAATTAATATTACTTATTTTAATTTATGTAACTTCAGACACATATGCATTACATAAAATAAATATTGCTTACTGTAATTTGTATGTTATAAATTTTTTAGTATCATTGGGATAAAGATTTAATTTCTATCAGTAATTTAGTGAATGATAAGAGAGTCAACTATAGTAGAGAAAAAAAGCAATTATAATTTAACCTGCTAACGAACATTTACTCATTCAAGCATGAAAGTAATTATTGAAATCAATGAATAAAGGTCCACCTTGATAACAAACGTTGAAGTAAATCCATTAGACATCTGGAATCGGTTTTTCCATTGGAGATTATGTTTTGTGTCCAGTATATTTTTCTTTATATAATTATTTTTTTATCTAGTAAGAGTATGCAAAAATGTTATGTATTTTACTTATTTAATCATAATGTAGCCCTTAGTCCGCTCGATAAATATTTTCAAAACTTTTCATGATGCCATGATTTATTATTACTATTTACTCATAATTGCATAATTTAATGAATAAGTTTTTCCTTACTCTACTTATGTTCTTAAAGTTCATGAAAAATTCTTAACATGTGTGAATAATTAAAAAGTTTATCAGAAATATGCATTTTATTTCATTTCAATCAGATTTATTTGTTAGATAATTTCCTTTTAATATTTTTCTTTAAAAAAAACTTTTATTTAAACATTGACAAATGTATAGTAATCAGTAACACCAGGTTTCTACAAACCTGTTCATCAAGACACTTAAAAGTGACACTTTTTTTTTTAAAATTAAATCTTTTTTTTTTTTAATCTGAATATTTAAATGCTTTCAGAAAAACCATATACATGGGTGATTGTGCTCCGGAAAAAATCCGGATTTCCGGATTTTTCGCTAACCGCGATCCGAAAGTTTCCTTAAATCTAAAGTCCAGAAGTTTCAAAAAATCATCGATCACATTTTTATATAAAAGTTCTTGTATATTTTATTTAAAACTATTAGAACTAGAATTCATATTTGGAATCTCTTTCATTTGTAAATATTTTTTCGGATGGAATAATAAATGTGATTAGAGATAAAAGTAAACTTACACATAATTATTCATTCAAATTATGCTGCATATAATTCATTTAGAATATCATGTTTAGAAAATTTCAATGATTTAAATTTATAAAGATATGAATTTTGATAATATATTTTGATAATATATTTGATGATAATATTACATTAAAAGTAATATTTTTTTATGTAATTAAAGAAAGATGAAACACAACTTTTGATTCCATAATGTAATTAGCATCAAGGGACAGTACTTCTAGAATTTCATTGTTTTTATTTTCAATGTGCATTTTTTTTTTTTTTTTTTTTTTTTTTTTTTTTTTTTTTTTTTGTTAAAGTTGGTGGATTTGCGTCAATATTTATTTTGGAAGAATTGAAATATAAAAGAACATGGATTTGTACAGTTTGCAACAAAGAAAAATAAACACTCTGAAAAACTTTTGATGTAAGGATTCGATTTTCACATATTAAGACTCTATCTGAATGATTTGATGCCTTAATATGCAAATTATACTAATTAATTAGTACAGACAATATTTTAAGTTATAAAATCAAAAGCAAAAACATACTTTCTTAGAATAAACAAACTTTTTTTGATGGATTTGGATTCGGTACACTTAAAATATGGATAGGTAGTTGCAATTTTGAAACTATGGTAACAATAATTTAGTCGGGTGAGGGTTAGAATGTTTGGACACTTTAATGCTTTACTTGCTGCATATTTCACTTTTCCTCAAGATCTTTTAAAGCTAATCTGAAAATGTTTGCGGATAATTAAGTACATAATTTACAAATTACTATTCCCAAGATGATTCCATGTAAATAATTTTTAATAATTATTGTCATTTTATTATATTTCATTATAGTAAAAAAATAACTACTTTTGTTTAAACTATTAGTTATCGTAATCTAATAATCGAATAACTTTCAGAATTCAGAATATTTGCAATTAAAAAAAATTAGTGAATATGATAATTTTTATTATCAGATAGATGATCATTTGGTCCATAATTTATTATTTTCTTAAGTGTCTTATAAGATTGGACTGTTTCAGGTGTGGCAGTGTGGTGGTTCCATCAGTATTGTACCTTGCTCACACGTGGGTCATGTTTTTCGCAAATCTTCTCCTTACTCATTTCCTAGGCCTGGTGGAGTTGGAGCTGTTCTTTATCAAAATCTTGCTAGAGCTGCTGCAACATGGATGGATGAATGGAAAGAGTTTTATTTTAAAATTAATCCCCGTAAGTGAATGGCATACACAAAATTGGGTTTTTAAATGTTTGCTTTCTTGCTCTAATACAACTAGTTGCTTTGTTTTCTTTTATTAAGCAATTATTTTAGCAAATTCTTTTTTTGTACTTATCAGCTATAGAGACCATGAAACTAGATGTGGACCAATGCCAAATTCTGGTTTATATTGACTGCTGGTTACTGTTAATACACATGGATGTATTAAATACAAAAATAGTGATAATTTATTAAAAAACCACAATTATCAAATATGATAGTATCGGTATCATTATAGATTACTTAACTCATAACATAACAAAAGGATAATATCCCTAAAATTTATACAATTTAGATATCGATACAATTATAACTGATTTATATTATTACATTAACTTCATATTTAATAATTATCGTTGTGTCTAATATTTGCGATATTAATGTTTTGTTATATCGCAATTATCGAGTGAAATGTGTTTATATTTGACAACTATAACTATCAATAATCATTGCTGTATTGTATGTTATACATCTGTGTGTATTCATTCAAGATCAGAAACATTTCCTCGAGAGCACCATGAATGAAACATTGAAAATACTTCAAACTTGGTGCATTGATAATAATATGCTTTTAAATAAAAACAAAACTATGAATCAATTCTTTTCCCTCCGAAAAATTACGATAGATTTTGAATTGAAGATAGATGATGCTACACTAAGTAGGAGTGATTGTACAAAATATCTAGGCGTAACACTAGATAACAAATTAAACTTCACCGATCACGTGAAAGTCACTGTAGAAAAGTGGAAGGCAGAATATCAATGATGAAAAGACTTGCTGGAGCCAAATGGGGATGCAATCAAGCAACCCTGAATACAACGTATAACGCATATGTTAAACCCATAATCAAATATGGTAGTGAGACCTTGAATTCTGCGGCAAAGAGCAGTATTGACAAACTAGAAAAGGCGCAAAATAAAGCCCTCAGGGTTATCGTTAGAGCAGTAAAAACTACCCCAGTCACAGCAATGCAACTGTATACTTCCAACCTTCCCATCAACATCGAAATTCAAAAGCAGTTCACTCGGAAGTTACATCAAAATGTTGACTTCACACAGAGCAGAGTGGATTCTAAATCAGAAACCTAGTACTCTCAAAACTCAAGTTTCACCAGTAGAAATATGTCAAAACACACTTCAAGATCTTGATGCTCACATCCCCACTGAAAGCACATATAAAATTATCAACAATCTTGAATATGTAGACATCGAAAACAGCTTGACTGTAGGGAACTTAAGGAAAAAAGACAGTATCGAGGCAGAGCTGAGGGCAACTGCGTTGCTAATTATCCGCGAAAAATACCCGGAAAGCGACTGGCTACATGTATATATCGATGGATCTCAGATACAAGATAGATCTGAAGCCGGTGTTTTTTGTAAACTATTTTCCCAAAGTGTCCCTGTGGGTCATTATATGACCAATTTTGATGCAGAGATCCAAGCAATTTATCTAGCATTACAGAACCTAAAAACAAGATCTAATGAGTTCCTAAGGGTGGTTCTATTAGTAGACTCCATTTCTGCAATTCAAGCAATCACAGAAAACCAATGTTTTAAAACTAAGCTATTAAACGAAATTCAGCTCGATATAAACCTCCTCAGGAAAATGAATAAAGTTTTAGTTATACAATGGATCTCTTCGGATATTGGTATCGAAGGCAGTGAGAACGCAGATTATCTGGCAAAAAAACGGAACAACAATGCCTCAAGAAATAACAACCGTCACACCTGATACTCTTAAAAAATACGTTCTGAAAAAACTCAACGAAATAAATAATTATGATTTAACTATAAAATCAAAAGGCAAAATATGGACAATTTAAGACAATTGGAAATTTCTCTGTTACCAACCCCGTAAGGAAGCAGTCTATTTTAGGCTTAAAACAGGCCACGATTGCTTATCAGAACATTTATATAGCATAAAAATTCTTCCCAGCAAAACATGCCCAATTTGCGACACAGGTGTATTAAACTCTGATCACCTCTTGTTGTGCAAGGGACTAGATTGGAACTCCCAGAAAAGTGGGAATGTCACTAAATTGTATTGGGACGCAAGAACTCTTATGAATTGTCTCTAACTTTACCTTTTTCATGTTAATGTTTAAAATTTTACATTGCTAAAATTTTACATTGTTAAAATTTTTATTGATTTAAATGTTTATTGTTCTTTTTTGTTCACTTTACCTAAATTGTTGAATTGTTCAAATCTCAAGGGTACGTCAAATTCGCACTCACTCTAAATCTTTCTGAAATTCAAAAAAATATTTTTTAATGACAGTATTGTTACAAATGATGGATGAAATAATTTTGCACTCATTAAAATACTGCAATTTCAAATAAATTAAAATATTTTTTATTTAACTTTATTCTAGAAGCTGCCAAAATGAACAGAAATGTTGATGTGAATGACAGACTAGAATTAAGGAAGAAATTGAATTGCAAAAGCTTTAAATGGTATCTTGAAAATGTTTGGCCAGAACACTTTCTACCCACTGAAAACAGACTCTTTGGAAAAGTATATAACTGAAAAAAAAGTTTTTTTTATTTGTTAATTTTTTGTTGTTGAATATTTTCTCTCTGTTGGTTAGTATATAATGTAAAATAATTAAAATGTATGTAAAATAATTCATAGTAATTTAGTTTTTTAGTATATTTGTGATATTATATAAAGTAGTCAGATAAATTTAGAATTTTATTACTATACTTATGATCCTTTGATTAGTCTATAAAAGCAAAATAAATTTCTACATATAGATATCGTTTATCGTTCTGCTTGTGAGGACATCCTATATGCATCTCTGAATTCTATGTGAATTCTGATTGTCATTTTATAAAAAACATCTTGAAGCTCAAAATTTAATCAGTTGTTCTAACTATATAGATTAAAATAATATAGTTATTCTTAAGTATATTATTGAATGCATTGAATAAGTTATAAAAAAAGATACCCATTTATAACATTTCCCTATAAATCTTCTCTATTAAAAATAAAATAACAAAATCCATTAATAAAGAAATGTGTTTTTCTGATAATCATTCTCAGCTTTTTTATCGGTTCTTTTTCACTTTTATTGCAACAAAAACCGTAATTGAACTTTGTTTTATTCATTTTAGCTTATGCATATAAAATTATTTCAGAACTAGACGAGATGCCGCTTTAGCCCTGTGAATTCAATTGTCTGATGAAAAGCCTAATTTAAAACAATGAAAATATCCCTTCATTTTAAATATTTTCAAAATTATTAGTATTGCATTCAGAATAAATTGTAATGCATTTAATAAATATATTCACAATTGCTAATGAACTTTATGACGTCAGGTGTTCTTCTAAAAAAAGGGTGATCATTTAGGATTCCATAGCTGAAAAAATTGGGAACTTCATATCTAATTAATGACATACTGGTGAAAACCTCTCAAGTTTTCCTAATAGTATTGGGGTTGTTTCTTAATCCAACTACTAATAGGAATATATTTTACGAGGGAAACTTAATTTTGCTTGTTACATCTTTTAAGGTTAAATTTTTTGAAGACTTCAAAAACAAACATTCTTTTTTAAAAATTTTATTACTATCACTGAGGTACTTTAATTGGATGAAATAAACTAGTTGCAAATTTGTCTTAACTTTGAAATGAAATCCAACTACATTTGCGAATAAATTTAATCAACATAGTGAATTGTACAGAAAACTTTATTTGTAACAGTTTTGAACGTTTCAAGGTCTTCAACATTTGACTTCAAAAACAAATATTATTCCTTTTTTTTTATAGTCAATGAGTTATTGTGATGTGATATAATGAATTAGTAGCAAATTTGAGGCAACTTTCACCGTCCTATTAATTTTAAACAAATGCGTTTAAGTTTTAATTAAATCAGCAAAATTGTAATTTTTCAATTTGCTGCAATTCTTGTGAAATGAAAAATAATTTTTTTTTGTGTTTGTGGTGCATACGCAATAACAAAATTTAAGTTTAATGTTCTCCTTTTTATTTTCAATATAATGAACAGTATGTATTTCCTTTTTTATTAGTCATCTACTTATATTTCACTTCAGCTTAAATTTCTCATGTGTATATTTTTTTTATAGATTCGTAGTTTGAAAAATGATAAATGCATACAAAAAGGTTCTGTATCTGCTGCACAGCAAAATATTGGAAAAGTGAAGTTGTTTCCTTGTGTGTTTGAAGTTTATCCAAAACAGGTTATTCATTTTTAAAAATTTTAGCATAGTATATAAAAATAATTTTTTTTAAAATTAACTGCTCAAATTTAGTAAGAGAATACTTTGTACTGAAGGTGTATTTAAAAATCTTTTTATTTGAAATGAATTTTCAAATATTTAACAGTCACAGGTTTAAAATAATAAACATTCACAGTACAAAAATTATAATGCTCTTTGTCTTTGTAGAGAAACTTAAAGTAATTTTACTTACTATTCAAGTTTTTAGACTATCTAAGCTCATTTTTATAAGAAGAGTTTATAAAATTTATTTTTATGTTCTTATTAGTCAACAAGCCATTTAAAAAAGCAATAAAGTTTAGTTTTGAATTTGTTTTCAATTAAATCACTTATGATTACCAAATTTATCCAATTAAATGCTTAAACATGGCGCGTAGCGTTTTTAAAAAGTGATTAAAGGTGCTTATTTTCGATTTTTGTTTTTTAAAAGCCCTTAAAGGTGCTTTTTTCATGGGGTGTTTTTAAAACGTGCTTAATTTTCCCTTTACGAAAATGAGATTTTCTTCAATTTTCGCCACGTATTATGCAAAAGCGTTTTTTTCAAATGTGTTTACACATTGTAAAAGACCATGTAAAATAATAAAAAGCTATCAACTGTGTAGCTTTTTATTACTTTACATGGCCTTTTGTAATTATAAAAGATTTTAAACTAATTCAGTGACACCTTTGTAAATTGACCACTTGTGATGTATTACTTTAGTGGTCAACTAACTTATGGAAGGACGAACAAGTTTTTTTGCTATTATTTCTTATATCAAACTATTCTTATATATGCCATGTTAAACATATTATTTTCTTTTTTTAATGTGTTATTGATAAAAATAAATATAAATGCATTCTGGTATCCAAAAGTTAAGAATACTTTTATATTGGACAAATACATGGAAGTATTCTTAACTTTTGAACACCAATGTAATTATTTTTTTTTTTTCGTATTAAGTAGCAAAAGGAATTACAATTAATTACAGATATTTTAATATTAATATTATATTCATTTTACTCAACCTCGTGAATAATTTTAATACTTTTATCATGTCATTAAGAGCATGCAAGAAATTATAGCCAAGTTTCCAATGATATGAAGAAAACAAATTTAAAATATAACTTTATTGAAAATGTAGCTTTAAATAAAACATGGCTCGACAGAAATAAATTAAACGTATTATCGCTGTTCTTATTCTCCACATTTAACTAAAGCAGTAATTGTACAGTTCGCAAAAAAAAAAGATATCACCCTGAATAACTTTCGTTCTAATGATCGGATTTTCACGAACTAAGTGTTAATCTTAATGGTTCTTGAGGGTGACCTCAAATATGCTAATTAATTAGTGCTAACTATTAATTAAGTTACGAAATCAGACACAAAAACGTACTTTCTCTGAATAAACATATATTTTTTCTTACATATTTGGATTCTTAACCTTCAAAATATAGGGGGTAGCCGCAATCTGGGAAATATGGTCCCCATAGTTTGGTCAGGAGAGCGATCCAAAGTTCGTACCCCTTAATGTTAATTTCACTTTTTACGTTTTTAGTCATATTTTAAAAACTAATAAAGGAATTCGAAGAAAATTTCACCCAGTCATAAAACTCATTTACCCAAAGATAATTTCACGAAAAAAATAATTTTTAATAATTGTTAATTACTTTTTATTATTTAATTAAATTAAGGATGAAAAATTTTTGAATTACAAGGTAGGAATTATTTTATACCATATTAATCTACATATTTTTCAATTGAAAAATCTAAAGTTTCAACTGTTTTTATTTATTAGAAGCTGAGAAAAATTAAAATTAATTATTTTTAAAAAAATAATTTGGCGACAATGAAGAAATGATTAAATGGAGCGATTAATATTAAAATGTGATAAACTTGCGAGGAACTTGACTTCGCGCGCTTAGCATAAAATTTCATTCATATTTTTTTCGCTAATAATCGTTTGCTTATCTTTTCATTTTTATTTTTTTAAGCTATAAAATACGATGTTTCTTCTTTAGTCGTCTAAAATTCTATTTGCAATTTAGTAAAGAAATTTGAATAAAACATTTTATTGAATAAAATACATTTTATTCAGAGAATGTGGAGTTTTATAAAAGCATGCTTCTGATAGAATATGATTATACAACAGATTGTGCTTCTTTAATGTGATTTTTTTTTATTTTTTTTTTCTCAATAACTGATAAAATTTCAATAATATACATACGAATGAATAAATTTGGAATAAAATATTCATCAATTTCTTGAATATATATTTTATAAATATTAATAAAAATACGCAGTCAACATTTTTAAGCATCTCTCACAACATCGCAAATTTCTCAAAATCTTATAGGGTAAACTAACCAGTGAAGGAATACTTAAGCTTAGCTTGTCTTTAAAAAAAAATCATAAAAATTTCAAAATTTGTAATTTTAGCTAAATGACGTATTTGTTATTAAATGCATGTCGACATATTTGTTATTAAATGCAAATTATGTAAAAAAAATTTAGATAACTTACATAATATTGTTTTAAGCTTTTGGTGGTTTAAATAATAAGTAGTAAGATAACCAAGTGAAGGAACAGTTCTTAAATTGAATAAACACTAAATTTTCCAGTGAATGAACACTTAATTTTGAGAATGTTTGATGCTCGTTAGGAATCCTTAGGCCACACAGATATCTGTCGCCCTGTAGATGCCTGAATTGACGGATGTTAACACAGGCGGGCATTAGGAAAAAAAAATCTTTTAAGTTTTCGTGCCCCCATTTCAGTATCTTAAGGGCCTTACGAGCTCTGTTTAAAAAGAGAGTATCATATCAGATATATATATATATATCTGATATATATAAAACAAAAATAATCATAGTAGCAGTATTTGGTGGTAAATGTAGCTTATCGTAATTGAAGAATATGCTGTGCGACATTTTATGGTGAATTTGCGAACGTAAGTTTCAGAATGTATCGAAACATGTGGATGCTATTTGCTAATCATCTTTATCCAAAGAAAACCATGTAACGTAAATATCTAGCAAAATGAAGCAATTTTTTAAACAATGAATCATACAATATGCAACATATTATTTCTATATCTTATTCTTAAACATAACATATTTCAATGTTTTTAAAATGCCACTAAACATTCAGCAATTCATTGAGTTATAGAAAAAAGAAATCGTAAATTACAGAAAACCTTGTGAATGTGCATTAGAATTACTATACAATCTACATTTTATTTTTCATGCACTTTTTTTTCCTTCAAACTTTCATGCCTAGAAGACTCGATTAAAGCTGTAAAAATCATTATCCCTAAAATTTTGTATATAGCTATTATAAGTTATGTTAATTTGATTTTAGTATGAAATCCTCGAATAAACATAGCAAAAATAGCATAATCTAAATAATATCAGATAAAAAGTTCATGTATTTAAATTCTGAAAACTTATAAATCGATTCAAATTTTCTTTTCAAAAGAGATTAAAATAATTTTTTATTTTATTTATTTATTTATTTTTTTTGCTTTTTGGACATAAATGAACTTAAAAATTGTCTATTGCCTAGAAACTTCGAGGTGTTTTCTATTAACTATTAATTAAACCTCTCAGAGCAATCACAAAACATTATTTCAATTTTTTTACAGTCAGAAATTGGTTGCCTAGCAACCTAGTAAAATTAAGCGTTTCTCTTTTGAATCAGTCAAGGGTTATCTTAAAATATTTATTTGCGCAGGCGACTTTTTTTGGCGGTTTTCTGGACTATCGCCAAATATATAAACCTTTATTGCAACCCAATTTACGACCCAATTGTTTTAAAATTTTGTCTACCCCCCCTAATTCAAGTGTCTAGATTCCAAATATGTAAAAAAAAATATATGTTTATTCAGAGAAAGTACGTTTTTGTGTCTGATTTCGTAACTTAATTAATAGTTAGCACTAATTAATTAGCATATTTGAGGTCACCCCCAGGAACCATTAAGATTGACACTTAGTTCGTGAAAATCGGATCATTGGAACAAAAGTTATTCAGGGTGATATCTTTTTTTTTTTTGCGGACTGTACAGTGCACAAAAAAAAAAACTCCCTGAATAACTTTTGAATGAACTAAGAGTCAATCTTAATGATTAGAAGGCCTCACCTCAAATATTCTAATTAATTAATAAATACAGATAACATTTTAAGTTTTGAAATTAGACACAAGAATCTACTTTATCTGAATAAACTTTTTTTGTTGTTGACAGATTCTGATTTTTGGCCTTCAGAATACAGAGAGCAGTCATAATCTACTAAATATAAACCAAATAGTTTAGTTTGAAAGGTTAATGATACTCTTACTTTTCGGGTATCTCTCCGTAACTTTTTAAATGAATTTAAAAAGTTTTATACAATTATAAAAGTTGTTTATTCAAAGTTAATTTCATGTGAAAAATAACTTTCAATAATATTAATATTCCAAAAAATCTTTGAATAGTAAGATGTATAAAATTTTGCATCCTTTCACAGAAGGCATTAAGTAGCAAAATATAAAATTTCAGTGGAATCGATCTGACTGTTTCTAAATTATCAAATTTTAAAAAAGCAGTTTACTTAAAATTTGATTTCTACTAGAATGTTTGATGCATGCAGTTCATCAAACATTTATACAAATTTCAAAATAAGAAAAAGTCTTTAAAATAAAAGTGTTCTTTTTTTCTCCAGCTTTTTGTTTATAACGAAAAAGGGCAAGTGATGACAGATGAGTCGATATGCTTGGACTCACCTGAAGGTGCTGAAGACACTTATGTTGTGATGCTAGCTTGTAGCGATTTATTGAGACAGAAATGGAAATATATTCCAACTGTAAGTCATGCTGCTTATTTTTAAATGCTTACATAAAAGTATGTTTAATACATTTTTGTTTCTATAAACATATACAGTCGTCCCCACTTAATCGCCCCTCGGATAATCGAATAACCCGCTTATAGTGAACCAAATCTTTTTATATTAAACTAATGTTAAATTTCCCCGTTTAAACGGTTATTTGTTGTTTTTTGCCCCCGCTTAATTGCATAAAGAAGTGGTACTGAAATGAAAAAAAAATTTTTTTTTTTGAGAAATGTTTCACCAGCTAAAATACAATTTCCCTTTTTAAGATAAGGATACAAGATGGTAATTTCAATAGGGACTTCTTATTCATTAGTAGGTGCTTCGGATGAAGTTGAAAAATTAATCAAATCTTGCTGCCAGTTATACATTGGAGTAAACGAAGTGTGTTTTACTCCTCTTTGACTTACTTCACTCGCACATCATTTAGTATGTAAAAAAGGAATAGAATGATTTGTTTTTAGGTCAAGACTTGTGGTCCCCTCTTGATGCATTATTAAGTTTTAAAAATCTAATATACTAGTGTAAAGAATATTTTCTCTAAAGTACTAGAATATTTGCTTAATCCTGTGAATAATTTTGAGTTGGTTGCAAATTGAGAGCGAAAAGGGATGATTTAAATTAATTGAAAAAAAAAAAGAATCTTAGAATCAATAAATTTCAAAAAAAATCCCCAACTAAAATAGCGCATTAATTAGGAATTTCTCAAGTTTCGAAGATTTTTTAAAAAAATAATTCTGAATGCGTTTGAAAGGAATATGCACAAGTCATGAAAATTTTAGTAGAAACTAAAAGGGAAAATCTAATTTTGATAAATTGACGAATTAAACTGGTACAAAAAACAGTCTTCAATTATAGAATTTTTCGGATGGGATTAAATAATATTTCAGTTCCAACATGATTCACCAACATTGATTTATTTTTATGTAACTTTAAATGATATTTTTTTATGATACTAAGGCAGAAAGTTTTAATTATAATTATTTATTGATCATAAAACTGATTTTATTTCATCGAAACGCTACACTACGCCTTAAATACCATTAAAAAGTAAAATTTCACAAAAATTCAGAATTTAAGATTGATTATAGCACTCCCCTTTTAATCGAATAACCCGCTTAATAGCATAGATTCGGCTGGAACCGATGTTATTCCTTTAAGCGGGGTTGACTGTATATATATATAAATTCCAAATTACAACAGCGCCAAGCTGCTAACGTTATAACTAGAAGTTTTACTTAAGCTGATTCTTTATTAATTTTACGGGCAGTGTTTGTTCTTTTAAAAAGGATAGTCTATTGGGTTATTTTATGGACAGTGTGCATTCTTTTACTTGGGATGTTTCAATATTTATAGTATGTGCAATGTTACTTATTTTACACGCCCATATTTACTACAATGTAAAATTACAGGAGATTCATAATTGCAAGGGCTAAATATGGATTTTTGTCTTTTTGAAGAAATTAATCAGATTGATGGCTGACCACATTGCCATCATGTGGTTGGTCATGAAATGGTGGTGCATTAACATCCATAATTCCCATTGGCTGACAATTCTTTTTCATTTTTTTTTATAAATTATAATAATAAATGTACACTGTATTGCATCTTATTTTTCTTTCAATTAGTAGCTCTATTTTTGTGTACAATATATCTCCAAACTTTTGCTGTAGATTCAGACTTATACTTAGCAATTAGGAGTTAATTGTTTTGCAGTGACTTCAACATTTCTTACTATCAAAAAAGTTCTATTAATCTCAATAAAAACAACCAGTCATAGATTGAATAAATTATCAGTTGCTAGTTGAGAAGGAGTATTAATTCCAATCATTTGTATTTAACTATTACAAATGTTACTTTTTAACTCCAAAAGAAGTATTAAAAGCATGAATAGAATGCTTTTTATTGAACAATTTTCTTAATTTTAAAGTTAGATATTTTTTATTTGTGTATTCTCTATACTTTTATTAACTTTTCAATGTGTTTTCGAATTTTTATGTGTCTTAAATTTTATAGTAAAGTGTAGAATGGTTTATCTGTATCTCATATTTTTTATTCTTATTATTCTAGAAGCAAATATTTCTTCATATCAAATCTGACCTGTGTTTGAGTCTTCCATCAAAATCAAGACCTGAAGCTTTAACCCTTCAGACATGTGATGGATCCACGAGCCAAAAATGGGATTTTGAATCTGTGGATTGGACAAGTTAAATTTTATTGATTACATTAATTTCCAGTAGATACGCCCCACCTGTGAAAAACATCGCTAAAAATTTCAATAATCATCCTATAAGCTTCACTGTCGTAAAGGTGGCATTTCCATTTTTTACTCATTAACATAAGTATAAAATATCACTAGATTTATTCAATTATATTGACAAAAAGTACTATATATACAGGGTTCTCACAGTCTTTAAAAACTGCTTAATTTTAATGTTGGAAAATAAGGGCCCGTAAAAGTACTTAATTTTGGTTCAAGATTTTTAAAAGTGCTTAATTTTTTGGCATCACTATGGTTGAAAGGAAAAATTTTTCAGTTCAATTTTTTAAAACAAAATGTCGTTCTTTTATCTCTTAGAATTAAACAGCGCATCGAGGGTAAAGCATATTAGAGAGACAAAAATTAATGTGGGGGGGGGAGCTACAGACAAGGGGAAGAACGCGTGTCCTTTCATTAATATATTGGTTCTTTCATTAATATGTTCTGCCTTTTGCCTAGAATGATACCCTGTGAGGAAAGTGAAGCATTCTAAAATAAAAGAATAGTGTGGACAAGGGGGATACTGCACATGGGGGGGGGGTAGTTTCAAGGTACCTAAGTTGAAGACCCACACTAACCTTCAAAATTGACAGAATTCAGTTCTACTGGTAACCCATCTGCTTATAACTATTTCCTAAAATCTTGAAGTATTAAATAAATTTGTATAATATTTCAATGTGTAATAAGTAACTGTACATTTATAGAAAGCATTAGTTTTTAAATAAATCTACTGATATCGCAAAATTGTAATGTGTGGCTTTGGGAAATTAATTCTTCGAATAGGCCACACATCTTGACAAGTGAAGTTTTTAACACACATACGCTGTGGCTTATCTACCAGAAATTACTGCACTTTCAATTGCTGTCAAATCAAATTTTTGTTCTCAATTTTAAGTTAGCTTAAATATCACCATTGATTATTATAAAAAGAGAATCGTCGATCATACTCTTGGAAGGAAAACCTATGCATAACTTAAGTTTTTTTTTTAATTTATACTGTTGTTTTTAATTGTCTTGTCCTTGTTTAAACTGTTGGGTAGGATTTATTAGGAAAAAGCAGGAAACTGCTGATCGGTTTTGTTTCAGGGAATTTCGCTTATTCTAAATCTCACTCTCTTTCTGTGATATTTTTTTTTAACATTCCTGTGTGAAGGTGCACTTCTACAATGTTTCATCGTTATGTTTTTTAATTATTACTGAAATTTCATAAAATTGTACTAATGCTATTCAAAAAAATGCATGATATTTTATTCTGGGTGGAGTTATTATGTGATATTTTTTAAGTGAAAAATAAAAAGCACCAATATTTTTATTATAAATACTTGTGTTTAAAAACTTTTTGCTGATAAGCAATAAATAAGTGCTCTGGATGATTTAAAATGATGCTACATGATTTATATATGAATAGCTTTTATAAAATCTGTTTTTAAATTATCTTTTTTTTTCATTATAAATATTTGTGTGTAAAAGGTTTTTGCTGATAAGCAATAAATTAGTGCTCTGAATGATTTAAAATGATGCTACATGATTTACATCTGAAAGTGTTTTTTGAAATAATGTAAAACATTTTATCCAAGCTGATGTTGCAAATGATTTTTAAAAAAATTAAAGAAACATAGAGAGGCATTATTTAAAAAAATTTTAAACAATATTATTTTCCATTCCATTGGTATTTCTATCTTTCTGCATCTGTTTCATATCTTATTTTAAAAGCTGAAAATTTCTAAGAAATATTTTTTTATAAAAATCTTTGGAATTTTTATATGGTAGTTACTTTTTTAATATATATTTTAATTAATTTGTTTTTGTGGTAGGCAGGCAATTCTTGCAATTAAAGTTTCAACTGGAACTTTGTATCAGGCAAAAGTGCAAGTTTAAACCATTTCTTGACTGTTACAAGCAGAGTTTATAATCATTCAAAATTAATTTGCTTAAAAATATTATTTAACACCATTTACTATTTTAATACTATATACACTAAAAACTGTGATTTTCATGATATTATTTGCCAGAATCAATGGTTCAAAACAAGTTGGGGATAATATTTGTGTAGATTGATCAAGAGATATTTTACAAAGCATTTATACAATCCCACTTACAAAAGTACTAATACTACAACAGTAACAGTACCTGTATAAGATTCATATTAGAGCAGATTTATATAAATATGGTAAGCATATCTTCTGAAGAAGAATATATTCAAATTAAAATCAATTTTATATCCAGTAATAAAATATTTTTTGTAATATTACAAAATTTATAAGTTTTTATTCAATATTTATGCATTCCAATTCAGTATTAATGTAGTTTTGAGTCATGTCCTTCTTATTTCCTACTACTTTATTTTCTTAGATTTAAACTTGTTTTCTGTTAAAGGTATCATTTTTAATTCATTAATATTTCATTTTAAAAATTTATTCGTTGTAGTATTGTGTACTTATAAATCTGTAACAATGCCATAAGTAAATTTTATTTTTTCAAAAAAAATAATAATTACCATAAGACACACGCATGCATCTACAATGGTTTACAAACTTATATTCATAAGATCATCATTACATTTTAGCATTTTGATAAAGCTCTTTGACTGATTTTAGCTCAATAAAACCCTGAAACCTACATTTACATATACACTTCATAATGTATTTTATACAACAAATTTCAATTCCTTTATTCAGGTTGAAACAGCTTAAATCTTGTTATCATCCAAGTGGTTATTTTATACTGTTTGGTACATTTTGTGTTGTTTGTTAAAGTCTTCCATTGTTTTTTTAAATAAATATTTTGTACCTGACAGTGTTTCATTACTTGTATGCTCTGTTACTTTTTTTCAACAACTATTATTTTTGAAGAAGAATACTCTAGAGCAGTGTTTCCCAAACTTATGACTTTTGTGTACCCTTTCTAAATTTTTCGTAACGCTGCGTACCACTAATTTGAAAATAAATGTATTTTTTACTATAAAAAAATTGCACGAAAGTTAAAAATCACAACTGGCTGTTGACACCACTAATTATTAACTGTTAACTCTGCAAAAAATAGCCGATAGAAAAATAGGTAATCGTAAATTTTCATGGCTAGCTTTGTTCTGAAATAAAATATTTTGGAATTTTCGTTTGTTGCAAGATATTTCGCAAAAGAAAGCGTACCCCCGCTAAACTGTTCCCGTACCCCTGGGGGTACGCGTACCACACTTTGGGAAACACTGCTCTAGAGTATCTATTTTTATTTCTAATTATGTTAGTTTGTAATGATAACAGTTGTGAAAAGTGTGTTCATATTGCCTTTTTTTTTGTCATTATTTTGATTCATAAAATAGATGGCTTTGGGAATTCCAGGGATTTGGGTAACCTTTTTTTAAATGAAAGATGAAAAAAGAAACTTTTCTTTCTCACTACGGTTTTCAGTGAGCAGTGTTGTGTCTCTTTCTACTTGGGCAAAAATGTTTTTTCTGTTTCTCAACCTCTCAGAATTTCGCTACTAGCTCAAATTTAAGTTTTATAGGAAGGAAAAGAATTCTAAATCCAGTTGGTTTTTTAAGTGTCTGTTACTCAAAAGTTAATTAAAAAAAATTTTTTTTTTACATAAAATCTGAGATTGGCTATATTTATTGTTATTAAAAATACTTTCAAAACAGAAAAGCGCTGTGGGCGATAAATTATAAAAAAAGCACTAATTTCCTAGGGATTTTAGATTTTAAATATGTTTCAAAACCTCACAAATCAGAATAAATTTGAAATTTAGTGTTTCTACTATTTTATATATGATTATTTTTATTTATTAACATGATTAATAAGGTGAAAAGTGAAACAATTGGTCATGGGCCAAAAAATGGTTAAAATCATCAAAAATTTAATCTCTTTATTAATAAATAGTACTCCTTTAAAAATAAATTTTGAATTAAAATTTTAAATCTAACCCTATTTGACAAAGTTATACATAATAGTATCATGTAACAAGCAACATTTTGATCATAAAAGTTTATAAACTCCAAGACTGTTGATTCACATACTTCAGCGAAAATATATAAGAAATTGAAAGAATATAATTATAATTGAAATAAAGAAAATAAATAAAATTTGTCCTGATAAAATTCAGACAGAAAACTTAAAAAAGTTTTCCAAATTCAAAATGTTTTATAAGAAAATATTACCTAGCTGCAAAGAAAAAATAAAATTAATTATAAAACTCAGATAAAATTTATTTTAAAAATTTTCTAACAATAACAAATTGAAAATAGACATAAATTTATTTCTTAATATTCAATAAAATAAATTTTATTATACAGTTTTAGTTACTGCTAGCTTCTTCTTAGGTTTTGTCCATGTGTAAACACCATGACTCAATATAGCTAATGCACCATATGCTGCAAAGGTTATCTATAATATAAAACATAAGCATAAATGTAGTTGAAAAGTTCAATGCCAAAGTGCTAATCAGTTTCTTAATTTATAAATTGTAAAATCCTTTCAGGGGCAAAGAAATAAAAACCATCTCATTAATTTTTTACAATAACTTAAAATTGCAATAGTTTTTATCTCTTAAACAACAAGGTTTTTATTAAACACTTTTAATTTTAAAAAATACATTAATAAAGTTTTTCATTCATAAAATTAATTTTAGATGTGCATACAATGCAACGACAATTCTTAACTAAAATTTTGATTTAAATTTTTCTACCCTGCAAAGAGTCAAACATGAGTGCCTGCTTTTAATCTATACATTTGTTGTTATTGTTGACGTATGCCATTAAGGCAGAGGGGGTGCGATTGTTCTTGTTTTCCAGTGGCGCCATCTATGGCCAAGAATTCTACTTCTGTCACACCCGTTTAAAGGGTGAACCCATTTATACATCGATTCAGTCATCCACAGATCGTAATTTCGACCTGAACCAGAGAACGATCAATCTCCAATTCAGTACCCCCAGAGATATTGATTTGTTATGGGAACATGGAGGACTTTGAGACTCGACAGATTTAACGTGCATCTGTCACCATTTACTACACGGGGAGTCTTCGGCCGGCAGGGATCGAACCCATGACCACTTGGACATGGGCCCAGTGCCGTACTGACCAGGCTATCCCGGCCCATCTATACATTTACTTATAATTTAAGCATTCTTTTTATTTGAAAAGCTACTTCAACAATTTTCAATATAATAAGTGCTTGAAAATAATGGTCCATTGGTTCAAGATCACTAGAAAATAAATATTAGTGGTCTCCCGAACCAACAATCAATGCAAAGGGCTGCCTGGTTTTTTGTGTTATGGCCTGTTTAAGTGTCACAGAAAAGCACATTTCATCATCAACCCCAATGATAGCTTCACAACCTACATTGCTTTTTCTCAAAAAAGAAAGTTACTATAGCCAGTTAAAATATATTAATTTATCAAAAATATTACTGGTTTATTTTTGCCACCGCCCCAATTTTCAAGAAAAAAGAAAAGAGGCTTTACAATCCTGCTGGGCTTCTTTTTCAAACTAAAATCACTGTGCTGACTGTAAAAAGATTAAAAAAAACTGTTAAAAGACTTAGAAACAGGTAAAATGCATCTTACTATAATCGTAGTAATAAAACCGAACAATTATAAGGTTCCAACATAATATTGAAATAACTAAAATTATTCTAAAATTGCAGAGTTTTACTGAGTTTTTAACTATTTTCTTGCTAGTTGTTAGCTATTTTTTTTAATTTTAAATGTTTGAATGCTAATAGATATCTAAAATACTTGCATTGCAAAATTGATCTGGATTACATGAACATTATTAACTCTATGTAGCGACCACCTCTATTTACGACCACTTTTAAGAGGCACGGAAGTTTTTCCATAGACTTGATGTTGAAGATAACCTTTAGGAGAGACCAGTGATACCTCTCCCAGCGACCGGGCAGATATCTGCCAGGGCTAAAGAGAATAGAAGAACTAGTTCACTCCGCTCTTAGAGCTGAAGCTACGATTTCCCTCCTCATGACGTCACTGTGTCCACAGATCTCGGAGATCGCATATTATGATAACTTCGCATCTTTCTCTTTTTAAAAATAAGTTAGTCTTTTTCTGGTTATGAGCTTTCAAACTTTACGTAATTAACACATATTTTCGTTCATAAACATAGTTCAAAAAAACTTTCTTGGCCATTATATTACGAAAAATACCATTTTAAACTTATAAAAATGTTTTACTAGTTGGCGAAAATTACACTATAAATACTTTATTTTAAAAAGTTCAGTTTTAACTTTAATTATTAAGAAAAATTAAAGCATATATCGACACTTTTTTTATCTACATATTCTTTTATAACGATAAGTTAAGTTAAATTTAGAATCCCTGATTTTAAAATATGTCGTTAATAGCAATTTGTTCATACTTAATCATTAGGAAACATCAACCTTAAACGCTAATTACTGAAACAAAATAATAATTTAGGTTCATAATGACATTAGAAATTTTACAATTGTTTATAGACATTTAAATTTACGATGATATAATTTATAGATATTTAAATTGAAGAGAATATAATTTTTAAAAAAAATCATAAATATTTAGAATAACTACATTAAAAAATATGTTATGAAATTAGGAGAATTTCAACTATATACTATATATTTTATTTATACTTTTTATTTACATTTTAATTTTCTTTGACTTTATCCATTTTTTAATTCTTTTCACCTGCCTTTCTTTTTGAAGTAACGAGGCGGTTTCAATTTAGATAATGAATTTTTATAAAAGTTCTTAGCTACAGAATAAACGTATTGCTGTTTTATATTAACTGTGTCATTTCGGAATACATTCTTTACATAGTAGTTCATTTACTTTAGGGAACACGCCGAAAATTATATTTTTTCCTTTTGTTTTTCTATCAAAATTTTTACACGTTGCAATCGCGCAAACTGGCATTTCGATAATAGTTTTAAATTCTCGTAAATTCACTGCAAAAACTGAGGAAAGTCATTAAAGAAAATAACAAATGTCTTAGAATATCTCGCAAAAAGAAATGCTCCAATATTAGTTAGAGCTAGTAAGGCCGAACGCTCCGTTCTTGAAGTAAAAAGGAGAGCTTTGCGCCAAAGTGACGTCACTAGAGAAAATCTGAGGATTGGCGCGGCGAGAGCTACTTCAAAGGAGTGAACCAGCCCTTCTATCTTTTTAGCCCTGGATATCTGCACCAAATGCGGGAAAGATCAAATAAGGAAACACGAAATAATATCAAAACAAAAAATTTAACAAAACAAATAAGTAGATTAAAATGTATTCAAAATATTTGTGTGAGGGTCTTATTTAGCGAACTCTTTTTTATGATACAACCTCATGTTACAGTCTGAGTGCACTAAAGATGTTGCTATCCATGATTTACTTCAAGAGTTGAAAGTTTTTTAAAAAAAACAAACATCCTAAACAAACAAACCACTTTTCATCTTTTAAAGCTAACTCATTTTTACGATATAAAATTAAATACAAACTTAAACAAAAAACTAAATTGTTTATTTATTTAAAATAGCTTTATCATTCATACTTGGTAAATTTATTTTTAGACATAATTACATCAGATGGGATCATTTTTTAGACGCTAAATTTTATTCATCTATCCGTCTTTTCATGATGCTAACAGAAGTGGCCTTACGGCACCACGAAAATGACACAGAATAAAATTAAAATCGCTTGAGAAAAATTGTGCACTTTCGATAAGAATTTTGAAGTCAATGAAGGTAACCTCTAAGAATGACCAACCTTCAGCAATGACCATTTTACTGTGGAACAGAGAGTTGGTCGCTCCCAAGAGGTTTCACTCTAAATGAAATAAATAAATTTAAAAAAGCACTGACAAGGAGAAAAATAATTATCAAAAAATAAATCATTTGGGCAGTGCAGCAGTAAAATTATTCAATATCTAATCTGCTTTGAAACCGCACAAACAAGTTTAAAATAAGTATTGTACAAGACATTAATTATATGTTATTAGCATTACTACTGGATTTACTAATCATGACTTACTAGTTATAACATTCAAATTAAACAAGAATTACTACACGATTTTAATGTAGCAATTAAAGAAGTGATTCGTGGATAATCTAAAAAGTAATGTAGTGATTATAGAAGTAATTTATCGAAATTGTAGTTGTAAATGCAACAACTATAAAAAAAGAAATATCTTACATTAACTCTTCCTCGAGTTGTAGAGGTGTTGAAATATTTTTGCCATCCTTTAAACTGTGCTTCATTCACTCCCCCAGCCATTTTATGCTACCTGGAAATAAATTCTTTAAAGAAAGATGTTCCTTATCCTTAAAAAATAGATTTTTGTTAATTATTACTGCTTTATACAAAAAAGAAATTTTGCTTTTAGTATTCAGAAATGTTTAATGCTTTGCAGTAAAAAAAATTTCGCTTTCAGTATTCAGAAATTTTTAATTATCACTGCGTTATACAAATAAGAAATTCTACTTTTAGCATTCAGAAATTTTTGATTGTTACTGCTTTGTACTAGAAACAAATTTCGCTTTTAGTATTCAGAAATTTTTAATTATTACTGCTTTATATTAAAGAGAAATTTTACTTTTAGAATTCAGAAATTTTTAATTGTTACTGCTTTGACTAAAACGAAATTTTGCTTTTCGTATTCAGAAATTTTTATTTTTTACTGTTTTACACTGACATAAAAATGGCTATTAGTATAAAGAAATTTAAAAAAGAAAAAAGATTTGTAATGCATAGAGCTGTGAGGAGAGAATATTCTCAAAAAAATAATCAAGAAAAACAAGAAAATTCTTGTGAAGATAAAATTTAGAAAATAATTGAGAACATTCCTTTTTCTTCAATCATCAAAATTGTGTATTAAATGTGGTTCAATTATTATTCCCAAACAGATAACAAATTCTGTCTAGGTATAATCACCATACAATAGATTCTTAGTAATTTTTATCTCAAGACTTTTTTTTTTTTTTTTTTGAAAGTTTGAGAATTTTTTTTCTGAACATATAATTTTGATTTTTGTCTTTTTTTTCTGAAACAAAAATTTAAAATTTTGTAAGATTAAATATTTCTTATGAAATCTTTATTTTAGTTTTGAAAAAAAAAATACCAAATTGTAGGAAAGAAATTTGAAATTAGTTGACAAAAAGCTGGTCTAATTCTTTATAAAAATGAAAGTTTTTTAAAATCTTCCAACGAAATTTTGTATTGTTGACAAATAAATATCTTCATGATCAGAAGATAAAAAATTCATTTTCTCTTGTACAATCTTTGTTGTCTTCATTTACTCTGTGATTAATAGCTGAACCTGGTACTATAATTCTTAAGAATACAAATTCTAAAATAAGAATAATATCTTAGGAGCATAATTTATGATTAAAACTGTTTTGAATGTTTTCAGAACAATGTTCAAGGAATGCTGGTTTCATTTTAATTATGGAATATTGTTACTATATCAAATTTATTATTTATGCTTACACCTAATACATTTTTTTATCTTTATCAAATTAATTTATTAAAATAATTATTTTAGAATTGTTCCGAACAATTCATGAAAAATGTTTCTCTTTTATTTTAATCTGATAAAAAATCTTAAACAAAATGCATTAAAAATTATGTTCAAATAATTTTTTCGAATCACTGTTCAAATCATTTTTTAATAATCAGAACAAATTATTTCACTGTTTATATTTACATTCATTATTAAAGTATTTTTTAATTTTTAAGGTATTAATTACCAAGTAAAATAAGTACTATTATACTTGGTACTATTATATAGGTACTATATATATTGTACTATATATATTGTACTATTATATTATATAAATATTGGCTAGGACAATATTCTTGAATGTTCAACTTGATATGAATAATTCCGATAATAATATTCTTCAGATGATTATTACCGAGAAATTTACATCTCTATTATGAATATGCACCTGGATTCAAGTGTTTTTTTTTGCCCAAATTGGCCATAATAGCTGCCAATGTTAGGCTTGAATTGTACTTCTTATCACAGATCTGTGTGATGTAATAATCGGGAAGTGGGGGTAGAGTTTTAAACACTGAGCAAAGTTGTAATCCGTGTTTATTTTAAGCTTTATTGCCAGATATAAATTTGCCTGGAAATTCAAGACACTGGTGTTTTAAGATTAAAGAAACGCCCAGATTTTTTTTTCTCTTCAATTTATCTACATTGCGCAGATAAATTAAGAATGCTCAAATTAATTTAAGTAATGCACAGTATCCATTTGAAGTGATGTGCCCTATGTCTAAGTGTGAAATTAATTTTAATTGAAGGCATTTTATTTTGAATGGCGGAGTAAGTAGAGTGTGTGTTAAGAAATAAATCTGTTATATGTGAACAAATTTAATATGAGCATGAAGTCAGTTTTTTATTATTGTGCATTTGCTGAAACAAGGATTAAAGATTGGTTTATTTCAAGGTCTTTTGAAGAAAAGAAAAAAACATTTTATAAGAATAACTTCAATATGTTTATTCTATGTCTGCTTAGCATCGTTAAATAATATTTTTGCGTTTATTAACAGCTGTGTTTTTAACATTTATAGCCGAGAAAGAAAAACAACACATTTACTGTAGCAAAATAATAGATTGGTATTATTTCAATATGTAATCTACCTCTGTAATAGACATTCATTTTTTTAATAGTTGAGTTTTAGTTTTCTTCTTTCCGAGCTATTGCCTATCATACATTTGTCCTGAATACCTTGCATTGATGTTTTTTTTAAGACTAAGTACCACTGCACAGCATACATTTGCCTAGGAAATTCTACACTGAGGTATTTTTCTTAAAGGTTTAGTACAATTGCCCAGTATACCCTACTCTGTTTTTTAAGGTTAAGTACCATTGCCAAACATACCCTACACTGTTGCTTAAAATTGACTGTAATATAAATGAACTTGGAATGTCCGATTTAGCATCGAGTGCACATAAAACAGTTCCCTGGAGGCTAACATTTAATATAGATCTGCAGTCATTTTTGAAATGGGTGTTATGTGTTTAAAAATGGCCGTAATACAAGTCAACTTTAAATTTAATAGGGTTGAAATATTTCATTCTGTTTTTGGCAAAAGACGAAAGCAATGCTAATAAAAATGCATCAAAAGTGGTTAGTAACAACAAACATTGAGTGAAGTTGCACAACAAATCTGTTCCAGAAATTCTTAATTGCTACTACTTGACACTAAAAGAAAATTTCGTTCTTGGTATAAAGAAATCTTTATTCTACCTTAATTGAAAATTCTTAAAAATAAAATTGCATAGCATACATCATTTTAATTAATGATTTTAATCAAAAACCAAAAATGGTTGTAGAAGCTGAAGATATGGGGGAGATTTCCACATGTTTCACAAGTTTTGGCAACTTCTGGGCAGTGGCCCATGAGAAACTAAAAAAAAAACATCACAGAAAGGGACCAACTCAAAAGTTATAACTCGTAACCACCTCCAGACAAACGTCTACAAGTTTGTTTTCTTTTGCAAGTTGAAAATCTATTTGGCACCTTGGCAACTGTAGTTTGCACGACATATCACGATATGGAAACACTCTCTCAGAGAAACTAAAAAAACATTACAGAAAGGTAAAATTTGTAGCCATCCAGTTGTTCTTTTTTTTTTTAAAAAAATTTGCAAGTTTTAAATCTATTTGGTACCTAGACGATTGTAATTGGCACAACAAATCAAGATACGGAAATATCCCCGGCGTTGAAACGTAACCAAAATCAGTGACAATATTTACAATGAAACAATGAAGAACTTTCTTTATACATGTGTTACAAATGTGGAATCTTTATTCTTTGAGTTGAGAAAGAAAAGTTAAGAGTTTGGTCAGAACGAAATTTCCGAATATTTTAAATAAATTAATGTGTTTATTAATCTTCCTTTTGCATAGTAAATATTTTTGCAGTAAGTACATAATTTTGATAAAGATGCAAAATAGCATAATGTAACAACTGGTTATGATGTATACTGAAAATGAACTTGCAATAAAGAATTTAATTTAAGCTAATGATTCAAAAGTTTCAAAGAACTTAGTATTAATATATATATATATATATATATTGAAATCCANAAGAACCATATATATATTACAAATTCACAGACAAATACAAATTCACATAACTAATATTAAGACAATAAAAATTCATCTTTCTGAAAAAAATATACCATTATAGATCATGCAAATGAAAAACGAAATAAAATTATTATCAAAATATATCATGTACATACATTTTAAAATTATAATTTAGCTTAAAATCAATAATTTGAGATTATCTGGAAAAATATCATACCGAAACTGCAAATATTGAGAAAGAAAGGACAGAAAAATGCAAAATTTTAAGCGAACTTAGCTTATAGCTTTAAATCTTTATCAGTTGATAATCTGAAAGAACATGAAAGCTACAAGCAACTAAGTATTTGAAAGTTTCAAACCAATTAAAATCTCTCAGTGAAACTCGTCGCTTTTTTTGCTCTCAATTCAAAATAAACATAAAATGTTTTCAAAATCTAGATATATATTCAACAAATTTAAGTTTTATTTTAAACTTAGTTTATTTGAAACCGGTGACATTTTTGTGAACGATAGCACACTGAAACTTTTCAGAGTGCGACATTTTTTTAATGCTCATAAAATAATAAACTAGCACCTTTTATCTAATCTCTTGCGCAACTACAAACCTTGATTAGAATTAATACTTGACTTTTCAACTGATAAATTTGTTTTTAAATTTTAGGAAAAATAATCAATAGCTTTGCTTTCCGTAAAATGTTATGTAAATGTAACTCATTTTTATGTGTGATACACTTTTGAAACATGTAAAATAAAATAAAAATCACCCTTTATAACTATTAATATTGACTGTTATCATTAATTAGAATTTGTGTTACCTATTTTATCGTACAATTAATTTTATTTGAAATATTAAGAATGAGTGACATTATTAATTCATCGATTTCAAAAATGAATAATTTTACGAAACTTTTTAACAGATTATTATACTTCAAATTGCCCCAGTATAATAAACTGCAAATATATGTGTTTAGTAGTTCTTTTATCTTGGTTCTCTTGGGATTATTAGTAATAGTTAGTCTATCATATTGGCATCGTACATTGTGTAAAATTAATGAAAATGAGTTACTTTTATCAAGCATTTCTCCTGAGCGAAATCTTTTGGATATTAGTCAAGAAAGTATGGATTACTCAACAGGATTAAATACCAGAATTTATTGTTTGAAAAATTACATGAAAAAGCAAGATCTAGCCACTTGCTGTGAAAATAGCCCTTGTTACAAGACTTCTAGTGAAAGACATGCATCATCCATGTTCCTTCCTGATGAATCCGATATATTTGTGACGGAAGATTATATTCCGATGGTCAGTGTTCCAACCGTAGTGCAGAAGAAAAAATTAGTGCATGCTTCAGGTTCAGGTAAGAGATAGCAAGGATTTCTGTATTAGTAGGTACATACTATTTTAGAATTGATTATTTTGGTGTGCAAGTACCTTTACACAAATCTTCCAAATTTTTTTATTTTTATTCAGTATGTATTTCCTTTTATAAAATATATTTTGTTAACATTACTTCTGTAAAATTTATTTATATTAGAAAAATCAATCTAATGAAAAATTATTACTATAGAAGTTGAATTATTACCATAGAAATTATTGTAGGAAGTAACAATGTTATTGAATAATAATTAGAATTATCTTGAAAATAACTTTTTAAAGTCAATTTGTCACAAATGATAGCAGTATTACTAAACTTGCTAAAGTCTTTATCAAATAGCTTTGTATTTTTTATAGGTTGATAAAACTTATATTTATTATAGTTTCAACATGTAATATTATTAATTATATAATATAATTGTATATATGTAATATTATAATTGTATATAATATAATAATTGTTTATTATATAATTGTATATTATATAATATTGTAATATAACTAGTGGGCTGCACCCTCTGCTCGCTAACGCTAGCCAACCCCCAAAAATTGCTACGCAGTCTTATATGGTTTGCTTCGCTTACCAAGCTCACCTCGCTCGCTACTAACTTAGGTACATTGCAAATGCACAAAATTCTAAGAATTCAAAACAATCATTCAAATCCATATAAAAACTTTTTATTAAAAATAATTACATCTTTTTAGTAAATGCTAAGTTATTAAAATAAATTTGAATTCAAATAAATGACATGTAATTCGTTAAACCTATTAGAAATGTGCTATAGTATAATTCGTAAAATAAATCAAAAATCGTCAAATAAATTCGTGAAAAAAAGCACTTTCGACAAAATACTAAAATAGAGATCTATCGACAAAGACTTCTCACTTCTGCCTAGCTTAATAGTATGAGATTGCCGCATCTGATGCTCTCTTATTTCAGTTTCCGTTTTTAAATGCGCTGTATGTTGAACCACCTCAGCTAGATTTGGCGTGTGACATTTTTAGCGGCAATCATTGGTTGATTTTCTAGCGTTGCCATTCAGGGAGTTGAAATGATGCTTTTTTTTTCACCGTGCAAGAGAAATAGTAACTTAAACAAAACAAAGCAAACGTTGCCACCAGCTGAAGAGAAATACAGCCAAAATTTGGGAGCCACGTAGGAGAATTATGTATAGATATAATATATTGTAATATAATATTAGAACTTATTAATAATATAATAAATTATAATCGCAAAATAAAGGAAGCCAAAGTTCTTTCTGGGAATAAAAAAAGCAGTGTTTTTTCCTCACAGAAGAAGGCACTTTGAGTTTTGAATGGACACTTACTTACCATCGTTAAAATTCATCGAAATGTGTAAGTTTATGTAATAACTGAATTTGATCCTCAACTTTAAAATTACTGTCTTTTTCTATTTTGTATGTATATTTGTAAAAGTAATTCTCACTCATTGTCAAAATAATGGAAAAATTTGAAGCTCTTTATAAATAATTGAAACGAAGCTAAAAGACAATCTCTGGTTATAAATTTTCTGGTTATAAATTTAAAAAGTAATGGTAAGATTTAAAATCACTATAACACTCATAAATATGCCTCCCAAATAACATTTTTCTTGCAAGTTGCAAGCTATAAATGAGGCAGGCTCAGTTTCAGCTCAGGCTCTATATCTGGAAAAAGTTTTTAGTAATCATCCTGTGGTAAACATATTTTGATAGTTACAATTCTTTTTCATTGTAAACAAGCAAAGAAAAAAACATGCATTTCAATTTGCTTCATTTTAATCTGTATCTTAATTTTATATTGGCAAATTTTTTTTATTTTAATGGTTTTTAAACTTTATGAATTATTTAGAAATTATGGTGAGAAACTTCAAAAAAATGTAGATAATCAACATTTGGAATCAAAAATTAACAGAGCTGTTGAAAGGTTGAAAATGCAGTTTTAAATGTGATGGTTTTGCTGCTTGAGCTGTTTAAAATCCAAATTCTTTTTTCAGTACTGTACACTCTCACTAAATAAGGCAAAATATTTCATCAGTAGTAAAACATGGAAATTGTATCCCTGTAGAACAAGTTGAGAATAAGTTGACTGTCTAAAGAATGAGACAAGATTGTGATTATTTTTGACTCAAAAAGAAATTAGGTTTTTTCTCCCAAATAAATGCTCAATTGATTAGTTTCTTCATTTTATTGCAAAACAAAGTATTATTTGTTTGTTTTTATTGCATAAACATTTTTAAAGTGCTAGTAAATTAGGTGATAAGTAATTAACCCAGATATAAAAAACAACCATTGTACATACGCAATGAAGGAGCATAAAGGGCACACAATTTGCTATAGCATTAATTGCAACAAAAGTGGTGAATGATAATATCACTTTGACCAGATGTCATGCTTCACATTTGATAATGCACATATTATTTTCAAGGATGTAGAAAGAACCATAATGTAACTTTTTTATAAATGATTTAAAAAACTAAAACTTTATTTAAAGTTATTTAAACCAAGGAATTTAATTTGTCTAGAGATCACAAAAGCATCTGTATTGGAAAAAAATAACTTATTGAATAAAATAAAAAATCAAACTTATGTGCATTGTTACTGCATGTTATTTAACTTGTTATCCATAAAGTAAATAACAGATGTTTTGTAATATATTAAATTATAGAATATTACGCTTCCAGTATTTACAAGAATGAAACAAAAATTTAAAAAAAAATAATAATATATATTTTTTTTAAAGATATTGCTTATTGAATATGTATGTGTAATTCCTTGAGACTTGCTCCAAGTTGATTAAGAACCACTAGACAGATTAACTAATGAACCGTCATTATTTTCTCATAGCTATAATATTTTAAAAACTTTCAGACTCTAAACAAATGAAATTTAGTTGAATAGTTTTATAAAATAATGTTCAGAAAATGGAATTACTTTTAGATGAGGAAATTTTCTTTCTCTCTGCGAAACATAAATGCTTTGAATCCTAACATTTTCTGTGTCACCTATTATTAGTTAAAGTTACTTATTTGAAATACAAAAGTAGTGTTTGTGTTGCCATTACGTTAAAAAAAAATACAGTAGGTCCTTGATTTGTCGACGCTGATCAGACTGGGCGAAACCATCGTTAATAACAGAACGGGACATGAAAGTTCCCGTGAAAATTAAAACTTAAATGCATGCTAATTTAATCACATCTTTGTTAAATATCTAAATGCAATCTGAAGCTTAACTATAATTTATTTAGTAGAGAAGAAAAACTTACATTATTTTAAAGAAAACGAATTCCACATATTTGTTTATTCTTATTTTGTCTTAAAGTACACTATGAGTTTTCTACTTTTTCAAGACGTCAATTTCTTTCTCTATTTCTTCATGTTCTTGGGAGCATAACTGCTGCTTCATTGAATGATGATGGAGGATCTGAAGATTCTCAGTCTTCTTCATCACTTTTAAATTCCACAATTTTGGCTATTGAAATTATTTCTGATTCACAAGTCATTAGATTACTATCACATTGCGAACACTCCATAATGTGAGTATTGATCTTCTGTTCTGAAATGCTTTCAGTTTTCGACTTGGTCAGAACTGATGTAAAACTACTTTTCTTAAAACCATTAACAATACCGTGTTGGGAGACTTTTTTTTTCTCAGGCAGACGATATTAAGTTTAAAGCTTCTAACATTAAACATCATATATTATCATCATTCTTCTAACATCATATTTTCTATTTTTGTTGGATATTAAAAGTTGTATAAGACTCCAACTTGCCAGTCTTTCAGGAAAATAATATCAGTGAACACTCTAAATACTAGGATTTTTTTTCTCCCTACATTTGTAGGAAATGAAAGGGAAATAACTGAAAAGACATTAAAAAGAAGAAATTGATATTCATGACTGATGTTAAATCTCAGTTCTACTGTATATTAGAGATGAGCTCGGGCTCGCTTTTGGTGGTCCGAGCCCGAAGAATTTTAATGTTAGTCCAAGATGCATGGGGAGTCCAAGATTTTGTGATCTCGTCACTTGGCTTTTGATGTCTAAGCAACGAAACCAGTAAATTAATAAATTTTTATCACCAACCTGTAAAATTAGAAGCATAAAGAAACCAATTAAAACTCCAGAATGACTAAAACAAAAATTAGAAAAGAAAATCAGTATATTAAGCTGAATAAAAGTCTCATAAGCAAAAGCAAATATCTCCTTAGGAATAAGAATGGGATAGGGTACTTTCTAACAGGAAAGGAAACTCACTTGACACTGTGAAAATTTATCAAAATGTGCAAGATCATGTGATAACTGAATTCGGTGCTCAACAATTTTTAAGTTACCGTCTTATACTATTTTATACATATATTTCAAAAAGTGGTTTTCACTTATTATCTAAGTAAGAGAAAAATTTGTAGTTTATAAATAATAATTAAAAGCATGTTAAGAGACACTCTCTCTGCATACATTTTTTTTTCTTCATAAAAAGTAAAATAAAAAAATTTTATTTTGATAAACAACTTAAAAAAAATTTCTGTAATTTCTACTGAAAATTATTAGAAAATAAACATTTAAATGCATTCTTTTTTTTAAAAAAAAAAGAGATATTTATTTTAAACGTAATTTTAAAATTTAAAATCACTTAAATTTATTGGCATACCTCCTTGAAAAAGGAGAAACTTATGAAAATTTAACCAGTTGAGAATCTTAACAAAGTAAATATTTGTAATAGTAATCAGAATTAAACTTATAAACATAGATAATTTTTGTGCGTTATTATTATTTTAACAGTTATTTAATTTTTCTTAAAAATGGAATATGATTAAAAGGCTGTGTTTTTAAGGGATGGTGGCTTAGTTTTACGAAAAGGATAAAGAAGACACATTCATAGGCATCAAAAGGCAGGTCGCCCTTCTATAAATGCTAAGGGAGAACACTGGCAAAAGCCTCGAACAAAAGAAGCAGGTCGCTGAAATTTTTATACCTTAAAAATTTTACATTCTTTATAACAAAGCCAAACTTTTGTTAAAATGTTTATGAAAATTTTATCATGAAATCGAACTTGCCCGGCTCTTTTTTTCAGTAAACGAGTCTTATCAGGTTCGGGCTGAGCCCGTCTTATCTCTACTGTATATATTTCTTGAGACACTCTGCCCTGACTATCTCACTTAAAAAAGAATACTTTATTTTAGGTATCTATTTGTGGCATAATAAATTTAAAGCTTAAATAATGTGTAATTTTTCCAAGTAATTTTTTTTTCTTTAAAATTTTTGAAATTGATGCATTGTTGAAATTACAAATTTTGTGTTTAAAGAATTTGTTTAGCATTATTAAATAACTTAGTTGAATTAATTTGGTAACAGTGCAGGTTGGCATATGAAGTTCAAAATTTAAAGTAAAACATTTACGTATAAAAGTTTAGTTTCTCTCTTGCCCCATCACTTATTTAAGTATTTTTATTTTTGGTTTTCACATTGCCTTCATCTATGAATGCATAAGTTTGGTTCATGTTTAAACTCTGCAAAAACTCTGTCAGATCCGGAGCATTTATATTTCCTTTAAAAAGCCCATTCAAACCAGTCCCATGTGTGTCATCAAAAGTTAAGGTTTTCAAAAATCTGCACTGATCTATACATTACACAATATCATCTAGCATATTTTTATATATATNATATATATATATTACGAATAATAACGAAACAATGCAACATACTTAAGCATGTAAACCCATGCATTTTTACCAGTTTTTTTTTTCTTTACCCAAGCATAGTCTGCGTATATTTAATTCAATTTTTTTTTTTTTTAAGAGTCTGAAGCCTTGTCAGCTGTTAACGTGGCTTTGAAAATGAAAAATTCCAACAAATTTGAAAAAGCTCTCAGACTATTTCGCCATGCCCTAGCTTTGCAGCCACTTCATCCAGATGTACTTAACCATTACGGAGAATTTGTTGAAGAGAAAGAAGATGATTTAATTAAGGCAGACGAAATGTATTTTAAAGCCTTGACTATCTCTCCTGATCATTCACATGCTCTCACCAATCGAAAAAGAACGTTACCAGTTGTCAAGGAACTGGACGAAAAAGAACTGAAAAGAATTGATGATAAGCATGTCCAGTTGATAGAATTGAATCACAACAGTCCTGCATTTAAGACATTGAAACGGGAACTTTATTTTCAGCACATCTATCATACCGTTGCTATCGAAGGAAATACTCTGACCTTGGATGAAACTAAAATGGTGATTCAGACTGGTATGCCAGTCAGTGGGAAAAGTTTAGTTGAACATATGGAAGTAGTAGGTGTAGAATCTGCACTGCGTTACGTCAACAAAACATTGGTTTCAAAAGATGATATTACTGTTTACGATATTTTAAAAATCCATAAGCTTGTACTTGGCCACGTGAATCCTCAAGTGGCTGGCTCATTTCGTCAGTCTCAAGTATTTGTAGCAGAACACACTCCCCCTCATGCATCGGAAGTGGTCCATCTCATGGAGGAATACGTCGAATGGCTTCAATCTCCCGAGTTTCTGCAATTACATCCTATTAAACAAGCTGCTTTAGCTCATTATAAACTTGTCTATATCCATCCATTTATAGATGGAAATGGCCGAACTGCAAGATTAATCATGAACATGATTTTAATGAGACACGGCTATCCTCCCGTCATTATTAGAAACAGTGAGAGAAATCATTATTTCCGCACTTTGCAGCTTGCCAATGAAGGGGATGTCAGGCCTTTTGTACGATTTATAGCAAAATGTACTGAATGCACTTTAAATGTTTATTTGCATTCTATTGATTATACTAAGTGCTTAGCCTCACCTACAGTCAATAAAATCGATAGTAACAATAATATTATAGCATTATGAGAAATTTTAAAATTATATTTATTCTTTTGATGTGATATTTTTATTTGTTTGGGTTTTTTGTTAAATTTGTACCAATAATTGTTTATTTACTTATCAGTTTTCAAGTTCATATCATTCAAACATACCAAACTGTTGATTGTGTTAGCTAATTAAGTCATATGTTCTTTTGTTTCTATAGAATTCAAGTTGTTGTTTACTGATTTCTTTCTTTAAACATGTTGTTTGATGTGTGTGCATGATTTGATATAATGTCAAGTTTTAGTAATTACAATTTTTTTTTCTTTTTAGGATTCATAAGGGTTATTTTCACAATTCGTTAATTTTTACCTCCACAAGCGATATTTATCATTTTTTTGTATTTGTCTGACATGTTTATTTCAAAATGAACTATGTTTCCACTAGTCTGATAGAATTTATTCCTATTAAATGTGTCATACTATCTTTCCTTTTCCTTCTTTATCCATATCATTCTTAAGATTGCTCTTGCTAAAAATAATTTTTAATTTTGTTATTGAATTAATTAAAACTTAACTGATATTGACAGAACAGTTGTAACAACATTTGTCATGTTATGAATCAGCATATGTGTATATGTCAGCATGTATTTTATTCTTTACTGAATTTAATCTACTTAGGTAGATTTGTTTATTTATTACTGTATTTTTTTCTGTAAAATCTTTTTATTTTCTGTACGCATAATGCAGAAGCAGTGGGTTGAATTTATTTGATTCAGATTTGACATTCCATTTTTAGATACACATTAGTACAATTTTCAATTCGTCTTTCATTTTTACTCATACATTTTTCAAAAGCCATAATTGCTAATTATGGTTTATTATTATTTTTCATATAATTTGCTACATTTTTTTATACTTATTAACTTAACTAAGCGGATTTTTGTTTATTTGTTCAGTTTATAAGCATGGAGTAAGAAAAGTCGATGGAAATATTGTCATGCACCTGCCAAAGGTGATTGTATTTTGAGGGTACCCCGTAATACCGGGTTTTTCGTATTGTCCTCCCGGATCTAAAAATTGGGAGCAGGGCATATGATTTTTGTGGGGATTCCGCGTTTCTCAAGACAAATTTTCTCTCGGACATTCGGTAATCAAGATTCCACAATCTAAAATTCAAATTTTGAAACTTTTGTTAATTCCCGTTCGTAATTTCTGTTGCATTCACGCGATTCTTCCGTCAATGGGTAAAAGTTCTGTTAGATTCTTCTGGTTTGGTGGATTTTCGTCATTTTGAATATTTAAAACTGCACTGGGATCGCTCTTCTAATTCACGCTGTTTGAATAACAAACATCGATTTTAGTATTTAGCTGATTTGAAAGTTACACGATGCCATTCGCATTCACGTAATTTAAGAAGCCATTGTCGCGATTTTTATTAACGCGTTTTTGAAATCATTTTTGCGATTCGTATTCCCACGTTTTTAAAATCCAGTTACGCGATTCATATTCACGCGAATCCTATGTCACAATTCGCATGCACGCGGTTTCAAAGTCCAATATTGCGATTTGTATTTATCCGTTTGTAATATCAAGCATTGATTTTTACATGATTTAAAACAGTGTTTCCCAAAGTGGTCCATATGGACCCCCAGGGGTCCGTGGTACGATTCAGGGGATCCGTCAAAAATAAAAACTGATTTAGGGGTCCCTGAACAACGTGTGAGGTTTAATATAAAATAGTAAAATTGTGATTGGTTTTTATTATTATGGAAATTAAGATAAATAGAATAGTGGCGATTTTTACGTCCTAAGTAAACTATAAGTAAAGGTGGGTGCTTATAATTAATTATTAACAGTGGTTTGTTACAAATTAAACAGTTGATTTACAAATCTTTTATTCCCTTTTTAAAACATAACAGTATGAAAGAATCGAAGAAAAAACACCGAAAATACAGTGTTGAATATTTGAAGTATGTCTTTACTTCTTCATCTGGAAATAGTACTTTACCTATGTGTCTTCTATGTAATAAAACTATAACAAGTGATTCAATGAAGCATTCCAAGCTTAACGAACAATTGATAAAAATCCATAGTGACAAGAAAGATAAAGATTTAACTATTTTTGAAACAGTCAAAGAAAAATATCTGAAAACACCGTCACTGCAACACTTTATGGGGACAACATCTAAGCTAGGTGACGATGGATTGCATGTTTCTATATATTACGTGATTGCAAAGTCCGGAAAGCCTCACACTATTGAAGAACTTATTTTACTGTCTGTAAGTGAGATAATACTCACCGGGTTGCACAAACCAGCTTTTAACATTGTAAAAAGAATTCCACGGAGTAATAATAATCTACAAAGAAGGATTGACAAAATATCTCAGAGCGTAGAAAATTCTTTATGTGAGTACTTAAAAATATCTGAATTTTCTATACAGCTTGACGAGTCCACTTATCCAGGAAACAAAGCTTTAACTTTTAGCTTATGTAAGATTTGTAAAAGGATAAAAAATTTACCAGGAATTGTTATTTGCTAAATGTTTGGAAAGCGATACGAAAGGTGAAACGCTATTGACTGAATTAAAAGCAATACCCTTGACTAATATCATTTCTGTAGCTACTGACGGTGCTCCGGCAATGGTAGGAAGATACCGAGGTTTTCTGGCTAACTTAAAACAAGCTGCAGCGAATGTATTTTCAGTACATTTGCTAAACTTAACGAAACTAATTTGAAACTACAAGATAAACAATTAAATTGAATCAAAACTAAAATCATAAAACTGCGTTTGTTGCGAAGCATTTTCTGTATAAACAAAACTTGGGAAGCGTATATTGTTCTCTCAGTGTCAGTGCCGTAATGAACCTCATCACAAAAACAGTAATACAAAAACAGTAATACAAAAACAGTAATGATTAGAAATTAGTGCTCACAGGCATTGAGCCGGACATAAATACACTCTTAAAATCTCATCACGTTCATCCAAATCATTAATTTTATTTTAAACAAAAGATCTAATTTTAATAAATAGTTCTTCAACAAAATGTTTTTTTTTTAATTTGTTATTTTTATACCGTACATATATGCTGTTTTTCACTTGGGGGCACGTGGGCAAGTTTTCACTATAAAAAGGGATCCTTGGGTTTAAAAAGTTTGGGAACCACTGATTTAAAAGCTACTTATTGCAATTTGCATGCGCGTGAATCCAATATCGTGATCCATATTCACGCGATTTTAAAACTCCAATATCATGATTCTTGTAAAAACTTTTCTTAAATTAGTTACTATATATTCTTCATTACAAATACCATTTCAAAAAATCATGTTAAATGCGAAACATGTATGGCATATAAATTAGTATCTTGATATAGATTTTTTTGCACATAAAATTTTCACCTTATGTCACAATCACTCCTGACCTGTTTCCCAAGATTTCTTCCTGGGTTCAAGATGAGACCTTCTCATCTCTAGTACATAGCACTGTGGTGGTTCAATTTTGTTGATCAAAAGACTATCTAGTCTGACAAGGTCGAATTTGATAGGGTTTCAGAGTGTAATAGTAATAGGTTCTGCTCTTTTTCTTTTCTTTTTTTAAATTTATAAATGTGAGGGAGATTTCGCAAATTTACGTTAGCTTCCGTATGTAAGATTTTAAGTAATGCGCACGCTCATTAAAAAGTATTATTGTAATCATATATATCACTCAATCATAATTGCATGCGCAATGTATGAATGAAAATATGCATAAATGAAAAAATATCAAGCTTACGTAAGTGAAAATAAGAGATTTTGGGAAGATTTCCGTATCGTGATCTGTGGCAGAATAATTGCAACTTCCGGGCAGCTGCCTGTGAGAAAGGGACCAACTCGTAAGGTGTAACTTGTAGCCACCCCCGGGCAAACATCTACATGTTTTTATTTATTTTCTTTTAAATTGCAAGTTTAAAATCTATTTCGCAGCACTTAGGTGATTGTAGTTGGCACGATACGGAAATATCCCCGAAAATTTGCAAACATCCGTGAGGTAAAAACGCTAACATAGTGAAAGAATAGTTTAACAAAATCAAAACAAATATTTACTTCAGTTGTCGACAATTTATTTAAAGCTATTGCATTCGATTCAAAATGCTTCGCTCTTCGTAAAACTGCGGATCTGTGAGCAGAAAAATTTGATGGATTCTACATTTCAATGAATTCAGCACATAATTATTGTTAGTAGTATTTAAAAAATTATTATTGAACTTGTATTGATTATTTAACTTCTTTTAACTAAATTGTATAGTTGAAGTCAATATAATTTTGAAATAGCGAAAATGTATATAGTTTCTTATGGAACTAGTGCAATAAGACAACCATAATATTAAACACAAACCAATAAAAAAAAAACTTTTTATTGAATGAACCAATGGTTGTAAGATCACACTATTCATTTTTAAATTTCATCAATTCATTTCTTCAAATTCGCATTCTATGTCCATGTTTTGAGTTCGAAGTTAAACAGGAAACAACATTTAACAGCGTAAATCACGGCAGCATGCGTAGCATTTAAAATAAACTCGAGCATGCGCAGTTGCTTCAATCTTACGTACAGACAACAGAAGCTAACGTAAATGTTCGAAATCACCCTTTTTGTCTGAAAAAGAAAGTACAGGAGTTAAGATCCTGTGCGAATTTAACCCTGAAAAGAAGGTTGTTTAAATTTTTTGCAACTACCGTTTGACATGACAATCACCAGTTGTATATTTTAACTTTAAAAAATACTTTTCTTTATGATCAAACGCAAGAAATATCATAAAAAGAAAAGTGTTTAGTTCTCTAAAACTCAGTGACTCTGAAATACTGTTCTAATTGTGCCAACTAAAATGTTCCATGTTATGAAATTGCTTAAATGTATTTCGAGATATTATTGAATTGTGTACTTTAAAAAAGGACTCTTTGTTTTTTCAATATACACTTCATTTCATAAGCAATATGATAAAAAAGTATGATTATATATACACATAACTAATGCTATGTGGTTATGAACATGGTGATATGTGTTGAGCTGTTTTAAACTTTCATTACTTGATGATTTGAATAACTTGTGTTTTAGTATCTATGTAAGCATTTTGTAATGTTTGCTTTATTTATACTAAATGCGTAGTTTATTTATTTATTTCTCATGGAGTTTATCCTGTTTATTGCTATGGTCATATGCATGTGTCGTCCCTGCAGAATTAGTTTCACGTCAAGCGCGTATAAATTAGCCCAAAAGTTCAATGTTAACACACTTATTTTGTCTTTTTTTGGGAGATGTTTTCTCCTCTTTTTTTCTCTTTAAACGTCCCCCTCCCCTCAAGAATTAAACATCAGTGATGCCCATGAACATCATGATCTAAAATTGTATAACAATTCTCTAGTTGAAATTAGGTAATTTATTTCCTCTGTTATTGTTGTTATACAGTGGGCCAAAAATAAAAATTAATTTTAAGAAAAAAACGGACCACCCTGAATAATTTTTGATCGGATCTTCACATTCTAGTACTCATTCTTAACGATTTGAAGCGGCAACCTCAAATATGCTAAAAAAATTAGTGCATACGATATTTTAAGTTACGAAATGAGACACAAAAACGTACTTTCTCTAAATAAACATACCTTCTTTTTGATTTATTTTGGACCCTCAAGGCATCGGGGGGGGGGTAGCCGTATACGGGGAAATAGGCCCCAATAGTCAGGAGGGCGATCCAAAGTTTGGACCCTTTAATGTTAATTTTACTTTTTGCGTGTTTGGCTATATATCGAGAACTTTTTAAGCAAATTGAAAAATTTTTCACACAATTATAAAATTTGCTTATCCAAATATAATTCCGGGGAAAAAATAACTTTTAGTAAATATTTATCATTTTATTTAAGAATGGTCGAACAAAATTTAAATTATAAGGTCTACAAATTTTTGCCTAATTTTAAAAAATGTAATTTTTTATAGCAAAATGGTCAAATAGTGCCTGAGAAATCGAATTTCAAGTATCTAATTTTTTGAAATTCGATTTCTCAGTAACTATTCGTCCGATTTTTTTTATATTGACCGTCCTTATTATTTACTTACAGAAACCATGTCAAAAAGGAAGTTTTAAAAAATGTGCGCAGTGGGGACACATATAAATATTTGAATTAGGAAGAAACAAAAATTTCGACCAAGTTTCTTGACCACAAACTCAGTCGAGGTTTCCAGTACTGTCTTTACGCATGAGCAGAACAGGGCAATACCCGGAGGGGAGGCCCAAGCACTCGGGGGGCTTTTGAGAATTTTACTTTTTATAAAAAGTATGAATTAACAACATTGCCTTGTATATTTTTTTAAATAAATATATTCTATTGTGTATAAAGTGTGCATTTTGTTTTTCTATCTACACATAGTGATTGATTATCATGCAAGCACAAATAATTTGAATAGTTTATCACCAGGAAAACTTAAACAGGCACCCGAAATCTATATTTCAATGAAGTTTTCTTTCTTTTATTAAATTACGAAATTTACTTAAATAACATCCGCGTCAATAATAGGATGGCGATTTTTACGTTGTTTTTCTAAACGAATTATACCATTTCTCCATTTATTTCGCATTTTAGTACATTGTAAGTTTTTTTTTTTAATTCGTTTAGTACTTATTACGAAAATGAATGAAGCATCATCGATTTTTTACATTTTGCTTAAACGAACGACCATTTTTCTGACTTCGGGAATTATAAAGGGTCTGGTTCATTTCATCGACAATCACTTCATCGACAGGCCATTTCATCGACTAGGTCATTTTGCAGGCCGTTTCCTCGACAGGGTTGTTTCGTCGACAGGCCATTTCGTCGACAGGGTTGTTTCGTCGACAAGTCATTTCGTCGACAGGGTCATTTCGTCGACA